AATTAATATATTACCTTTACGTCACAATTCATTTTAAAAAGTTACAGCCGATGATATTAATTTAACTTCTCAATGCTTTAATCGTCAAAATCTAAAAAAACGTATCCTTGTTTTAATTAGTGATTAAAACCAAGTTTCAGTAAGTAAATTTAATAATGAGCGAATGGTGCGCTTGTGTTGTAGTACCATGTCAACGACGGAGGGCGGGCGCAAGGTGACGGCGGCGGTTGCGACCACGGGCCGCGCCGTTGCCACCACGTCGCGTGCGGTCGGCGGCGCCCTCACGCAGGCGCGCGGCGCGCTCTCCGGCTGGTGGAGCGCGCTCACCGCGACCGCCGCCGTCGCCACCGCCGCCACCGCTGCCACCGCGGCCACCGTCGCCACCACCGACTCCGACACCGCACCCGCACTTCACGAAATGTCACAAGCCTCCGACTCCGAAGATGTCGCCGAACAACTCGAGGACGACAATAGAAGGGAACCGCCCGCCCCCAACCTGGATCCTCCGGATAAATTAATAGAAGACGGTGCCACGAGCATTGGCAAAATACGCGTTATATAAATGTAGACTTAAACTGATATGTATTATATTGTTAAATCGTAATTATTGAAACTATTATCTTACTTCACAAGTTTTCTTAATTTAGCGCAAATTTGTATGAAAACCTAGCATACCACACTACTTTTTCTACCTATTATGACGCATCAAGCCCCATTTAGTGTCGCGAAACCAGTTTCTCACACTAAATAGCGCTCATTGAAAATCATGGGATATTGTTTAGACTTTTTACGCCGCCCACGCCTCTTATTATTGAAAAAACTAATGGCCCTCTTGTGGCTCACGTCTGTTTTATCCTGCTAGTTTGCTCCACTGATAGTTTGTAGTGAACGTTCGCGCATACGCGTGTTCTTATTCTATCGAAGTAGTTTTTTTTAAAGTTGGCCATATTTTTAATTAAGTTTAATATATAAAATATACTAACTGAAAAGTATTTGGTAAGTCTAATTTTTGTTTACAAAATCAATTAAAATCGAGAGCATCAATGTTGCATAGATTTTACTTGTTGTTTAACTTGACAGGAAAATGACAAAGCAACAAGTACTACGAAAATTAAGCGATATTCGGAAGTATTGCTTGTTCGATATCCATTTTCGATTGACGTTTTTAACTTATGCTGGGCGTGCGATGTAGGTACATTTGTTATCTTTTTATTATTTAGATTATCTATTATTTATTTATCTTTTTATTTAGATCTCTAATTATCTATTTAGATCTGAGTCTGTGTACATTTATGAAAATCTAAACATTATATTTAAAAATTATCTTCAAATAAATATATGATAATGTTTATTTATTGTTTTTCAAAATATTTAATTATCATTTAATCTTCTTTATATTACTTATTGTAATATTATATATTATTCGATTTTAAGTGTTTTGTAAAGGTGTTTATTTCTTTGTTAAATTAAGAGAAAATTACTTTTCACATAGTTTTAATTCATCATGCATGTAACTTTAAAACAATGGGGGCTTCCACAACTTCTGGCACCAGGGCGTTGCCAATTCGGAATGCGGTTAAATATTTGTCCGATCTCATTGTGAGAAAGTTAAATTGTAAGAAAAGTAGAAGAATTAAAAAGGAGTTCAGTGTGTAAAAGTATAAAAGGGTTCACCACTGAGGATTTCTTTTGTGTATATACATGAACTAGAAACCGAAAATCTATTATTTAAAACGCAAGTTTTCAATGAAAATTACACTGTGGCCATCTATCTGGCAAATAAGTTCACCTCAGTTTCAACCAGCGACATCTGGTGAGCAGAAGATAATTGGCCCTCATTATCGCAGATATGTAGTTGCCAAAATATACAAATTTGTTTATTAAAACTGTTTTTTTGATAAACACATAATTTTTTCTTTAAATGATTTTTCAATTAATTGCAATTTCTTATTTTTTTAGATTTGTTTTGGGATTATTTGGAAGTACCTATATAACTAATCTGATTTAATTAGGCACATTCATCTAAATATCATTCCATATAAAGTGATATTCTAAATAAAATAAAATATGATTTAATTTATTTAATAAAAAATATATAATTTTGAATAATTGGCTTTTCAAATTAATGTAATGTGCTTCCTTATCGAGTCATACATGTGATTGTTGTTTTTATTAAGTAGGCAATATATTGATAGAATTCGATATGATTTGTGATCTCTGATAAATACTTATTACTTTGTTAATCTTATATACAGGAAAAAATATAACGTTTTAGGGTGTGTTATTTGTAAAGTATTTTATAGCTCATTTAAAACTACTGCAATTTCTGTAAATATATGTTGAAGTGAGGGTTATGAATCAAATAGACTTTTTTATGCATATGAAAGGAGGAGTTTGACTTTATTTTTTAACACGTGAATAGAATAATTATGCTAAATTACTACAATTTGACGTTACCACATTCTCTTTACAAACTCACAAAAATGTTGGTATGCTTATTACTATTTTCTATGTATAAACATTATAGTAATAGAAATATGCAGCATAGTGCAGACATGAGTCGTACTTGCGTAACACTAGGGTTTCGATTTACGAGTGTAAACAAATTCTAGTGCCAAATCCCATTGTAGATATTACTTACATTATTACATGCAGGTGCGGTGTCTCACTTTTGTAAATGTACTTACGCATTCATAGAAGTTTTGTGCTGCGATTAGCGCTGTGGTATGTTGTTAGCTTACAGAAAATAGTATATTATATAACTTCATTTCGTCAATCAGTTTAAAATTGCATACTTGTTATGAGGGTCCAAGAGAACTTGTTACGAGGGTACATAGTCATAATTCAATGTCGATCCAAAGCTTTTGAATTTCGCAGAGCATTGAATCTCAAAATACGTACAAGGCTTGCTTGGCTTAGTGCGTTACTGGGCGAGCATAGAGGCCGCGTATCGGATGGACTATCTTATTTTATTTGTTTTGAATGCTTAGAAATGACATTAATCATTTAACGCTTCTTTGAGTTCTTTTAATTATGTATCTGCTGCTAATCTTGAGAAATTTGAAACTTACGTATAGATTGATTTGATGTCATTTTTTACAGTAGTAGTAGTGTCAGTTTTTACGCCACTAAATTTAAATAAGTATTGTTTGTAAAGTTTATATATATATATATATATATATATATATATATATATATATATATTTAGTTATTCACTTTAAAGGGTAACAAACGTCCACATCAAGTGTAAAGTAACTTAAATCAAGAACGATGGTCCTTATAAACATTTTTATTTTGTGATTGAATTGTCTAATTCTGATTTCTTGTTTTCATCTAACCGTGGCGTCTTGTGGTGACCACGTAAGTGAACCAATCCTTTATTTCGTGCTTTATATATCGTAGAAGACGACTATGAAAAATATCACAAAGACCTCACGAATTTCAATGCACGCATCGCGTATACGCTGGAAGTAAAATGTAATATCCAGACCGACGATGGACGGCAGCTTCAAAGTTACATTAAATCTGGTTTTGCCCGTAGCTAATTCGCCTTCTAAGTGTGACGATTACGTAAAATCTCATGCAATGGAAGCGGACCATGTCCAGCAGTGGAACCATGAAGGTTAGAGAACAAGAGAACGATCACCGTAGAAAATAGTGTCCCAGAAATATGGACACCATAAGTGAGACGCTGCGACCGCAAGTTCTGTCAATAAGTCATTTTCAGTCTATTTTTCCGATCAGATGCTAAACCACTTGCACATACACGCACAATAAAATATTTCTCCATTTTTTAATGTTTCTTTTTGTCAAAAATTACAAAATTATGGAGTATGAAAATTTTCTCACCAATACCGCGTAGAAAATTGTACATTATTCAACTAACTTCATCTACTTGTACTACTATAAACAGCTAACTTCGCAGTCACTGTTCACCGACGTCAGCGCTTCTCTTCTACAAATTTCAAGGACAGGCAGGCTATGCTTTAGTATGTAGTGATCGTTCTGTTCTCTAACCTTCATGGGTGGAACGTTATGGACGGATAAAAGTAGAAAAGAACAGGAAAGACGATCTAACAATACGGCTCGCCTTGAACTTTCGTCTCCCTGCGTTTCGTAATGCTTAGCATCGAAGCTTCGTCACGCAGCAATAAAAACGCTATACATCACTAATTTAGTCAACTACATGACTCAGGAGCAGGAGAGCTAAGCGTTTGATTGGAAGCTGCGGGTAGCAGGTTCGATTTCCACACCACAAGTATTTTTATAAATAATTGTCATAGGTAAATTTTTTAGTGGATATAAAATAAAGCAGAAATATTGCACAATGGAGTAGGATGATACAATATTTTTCGCAAATAAAAATCTTGTTTGTTTATCTATTATTTTATTATCTACATAATTAATGCTCTTTAAGATTTAATACCCATATATTTGAGCTAGAACAAATTGTAAAAATGCTGTACTTAAGTACACTTTTAAAAGAAAATTAAAAATGTTAATGAAGTAAAACCTCCTTTCAACCTTTCTTTGAAATTGTTTTTAACTAACCGTTTATTAAATCTCGGCGTAACTGATAATTTGATGCTCTTGCCAAGTAATGTTCCAACTTAATAAATGAACCCCAAAATAGATAACGAGTGTTGAATGTAAAATAAATTATTAAAAAAGTTTTCATGTGTATTTATTAACCTTAAAATATTTAAGAAATGCATTTAAATTACTTAAAAGACATCTAGTCGTATAGTATAGAAAAACAGAGATTTTATTACAGGGTATTATTCTAACTATACCTAAGTGCAGGTTGTTACCTATATGTGAATATTTTTCTTTAAGTATCGATGCAAACAATTTCGTACAACAGTACTTTATTTGTGAAAAAAAAATGTCAAGACTAATATTGCAAAGAAAAAATCTTATTTCTCTTGCTTACGTGTCGCATTAACGCAGCCAAAATCCGCTGCAGAGCAGTTTCAAGGCCTCCCAGAAACTGTTGATGTTCAAACTGCGGAATCTGGTTCATCCCATGGCCACGGTGGACCAGAGTCGAGCGCATTCTGTCGCCAAAGAGTTCGGGAATTTTCTGACGTTCCATGGGCTAGTAAAAACATGTTGTATGGTTCTACCATATTTGAGATAGATGTACCGCTGTCCTGCCGTTCAATGCGCGTTTCCGTTTTTACCATAAATTTTTCATCTCCCGACTTACATACCGGCAAGTGATCAAATTCGGTTGCACATTCGCGCGGTGATTCCAAGTCGGTGATATCCGATCGCGGGGAAAAATCTGTACTCGCAGTGACGTCTTGTAAGCTACGATCTCTGCAGTCCACTCCGATCGGTGTTTTGGTCGGTGACGTCAGATACGTCCTGGAGTGCGAGGAGGCGACAAGCGGGGAAGAGTTGGAACTGGACGATCGTGTCGAAGCGTCGCGTCGAATTTCCGAAGCGGAGGCGACGGTCGTCGGCGAGCCGACGAGCGGCGCGGACTCGTCGTCGCTTCCGGCGTCCTCGCGCGACGGACTCCGCTCGCGCGACCCGTTGCCGCGCGACATCAGCTTGTCCTTGAACCGCGTCAACCGCTCTGCGGAGCCGACCTTCTTCAATATTTCCGCCGTCCTCTTGAGGCTCCTGAGCTTGAGGTCGACGATCGGCGAGCCCGTTTTGGTTGAGTCGTCTACCGATCGGGAGCGCGTGGTGAGCCGGTCGTCGGCTTCGTGCGGCTCGTCGCCGGCAACGAGCAGCGACGAGGGCCGCGAGCGCGGCGGCTCGTGCGCGTGCGCGCGGTAGTGCACGGCGGGCCGCGGCGGAGCGCTGAACGTGATCTGGCCGTCGTCAGAGTCCTCCTCGTTCTCTACGTTGAAGGTGACGGCGGGCGGGTCGGCATGGCGGCGTGTGCGGAAGCTGCTGCTCTTTAGGATGGAAGGGTCGCGGCCGGCGGCGCCTGCTTCGCCGCCTGCCCCGCCACCCGCCACGCTACCCGCCCACGAGCCGCCGCTGCGCGCTAGGCGCACCTGTGCCGCGCTCTCCTCCTCTGCAAGAAACGACCTTCTGTATCAAGCGGAGGGATTCGGGATGTGACTAGACGGATCGAGACGGGAGTGTTCGGGGCGATTTGCTTTCGTTTAAAAGCGGAGCTAAAATAAAACTTCAAAATCCGTATCTAAATATTTTATTCCGTATCATCATGTGCAGTATTTTTGGAATGATATCGACGTAATTTTTTTCTACGACTAATGGAACGTGTATGATATGCAAAGGTTTCATATAAAAAAAATTCGTGCTACTATCTACGTTATATAAATATACGATATGATATTAGACATACTTTTTCACGTTCATATAATATTCTACGCAAAATGTAAAACGTTAACAAATTGTATCTGCGATACATAATTCACATTAATGATAATATAGTAAAATAAAAAAATTGTTATAATAATCGCCGCAATTTTAAAAAGGAACTTATCATATGGAATAAGGCATGTCTACTTCGAACTCTAAAATTCTTACGTAATTAGAACATATTAACCTATATTCACATAGGATTTTTTAATTAATTAAAACGTAATTTTTAAAATTACGCGTGCAGTTTCACAACCAAATAGGATGGCAAGGCCTAATAATAAATATTCATTTAAAAGTCTCAGTTGTAAAGGAAATTGCTAATATGTACTTTAAGAATAAAGATTAAAATAAATTCCTGATAGGCATTAATGATAATAATCTAAACTATGGAGACCATGTTCCGAAGATAAGATAAGGATGTGCATTTTACCAATTTAAGAAATTTATTCGCGTAAGTAAATGTTATGTTTAAGTACCAATAAATATTAAATTAACATTTGCCTATTGCGAGTTAAAATGCATGATAACCAACATTATAACAGTTTGTTTTAAAATCTAAGTAAATCCTATTGTGTAATTTAAGTACATAAACACAAAGTTACTAAAAAGTTATGTGTTTTAAGTAAATTGTTGATATATCACAAAATTAGTGTAAGTTCATTTTAAAGGTGATTGGCGCCCACTATTACACAAGAAAATTAGTAAAATAATAAATGACTAATAGTCCAAGAGGCAGCGACATTATTTGTGCGATTATTCCTACGAAGCTGATTCTTTATTATTTTGTTATTTTGAAATCGTACGTAAACAGAATGGCAGTCTACCGCGCCAATGTTGTTGCAAACGTCGTCTACTTTCGATAGAAATTGGCTAAAGTTTCGGTAGACGTAGCTTTCATTATCCTGTATATTTAGGTATCCTTGGTCACTGTAAGAAGTTTCAGTCTTGTAAGTATAATATACATTTACGTATTATTTATTCACAGGTTTCAAAAATTGTTATTAATGTTTGCAACACTAAAAGCTTGGTAGACTTTCACTTTCATTATTTACACGGTATAAACACAAATTATAAAGTTGTAGGTATAAACATTGCTTGACAGAAAAATTAGATTTGTAGGAATGGGTGCAAAATTTCGGTCGCTGTCTCCTGGACTATAACATATTGTGTGGTGAATAATAAGCTGTTTGTAAACTACTCAAACTATCATAAAATCGTGGGACTCCTACTACATTAAAAATCAATTTTAAAAAACTGCTCTATTGCCAAGCTAATCAAAAGTTGAAATAAAAGCAAATGATTAAATCGTGCGTAGGAAAAGCCGACATCGAAGCGCATCAAAACCCCATTAGTTATTATAAATTTATTTATAAAGTGAATAAAAATGAATGCAGCATTGTTATTGAGTATGTGAAAGCAGGGATTGCAGGTTACGCAGTGATAGTGTACCTCCTTTATAATATACACTATCATTGCTTTCTTAACGAGTATTATTGTATTCATCGGCTGATATTTTTGCTAGTTTAAAAGTAACATTTGTTCAAAGTTTAATTTTGAATTTATTTTTATTATTAATTTATCTATGTAATCAAACAACATGGATGATCAATTAGTAGCTCATAATTCGAGGTACCATAACTGTACCGCGCAATTTATAATTAACAATACAAAATCAAAATCGCAGAGTGAAAAAAATAATATAAAGAAAAAACAAAACATGCGTTCCTTTGAAAAAAAAAAAAGTTTTATAATCAAAAAACGATAAAAGGATTTTAAACGCTGCCGAGATTGAATACGACCAGGAATAATAGGTCAAGGAAAAAGTTTCTTCGTATTTTTTATGTATAAAAATGAAGAAAAATCTCTTTGGTTATACCGTTTGTATCTGGATGTTTTTAATATCAATACAAATAGGACATTAAGAAAAAGAAAAATAAAAAATTAAAAATATCCCACCAACTTTCAATTGCTTTTCTGTCCGCCAAAATGAGTGATCATCTAACGAAGAAATTCGATTAATTCTGACGTTTTACAAAAAGGGGAAAAATGTGACTCAAGCTGCGAAAAAATTATAAACCTAATGCAGTGTCAGTAAGAGTAGCACAAAGTTGTTACAAGCGTTTTCAGTTCGGGAATTTTGACGTCCAAGATGCAGCTCTCTTTGGTCGCCCTCATACGGACATAGCTGAGGAATTGAGGGTTGACCACAGAACACTAAACCCATTTAAAAAAGTCTGGCTGTACAAACCAGCCCGATGTTAGGATACCATCCGAGCTCCCTAAAAGAAACCTAATGAATCGTGTACTCATTTTCAATTCTCTACTGAAACGTAATGAAATCGAACCTTTTTTAAAAGATAGATCACTTGTGATGAAAAGTGGATCACCTACGATAAGAACGTGCGAAAAAGATCACGGTTTTAATGGGTAGTCAAGCTTCACAGACTGTAACGAAACCCGGATTAACACGTAATAAAGGGATGCTGTGTGTATGGTGGGATTGGAAGGGCATCGTTTATTATGAGCCTTTACAGCTGGTCAGAACCATCAATTCGGATCTCTACTGCTAACAATAATAAGACTCAAGCAGAAAATAGAGAAAAAACGGCCGGAATTGATCAACAGAACAGAAGTGGTCTTTCATCGTGATAACGCATTCACACACACCACATTTATTTTTGGCCACTCAGCAAAAATTGAAAGAGCTTGATTGGAAAGTGTTAATGCATCCACAATATAGTTCTGACACATATTTATTACAATTAAATGTAATTAAACTGAAAAAAAATGACTTGAATTTGTATATAAGAAGAAATTTTTTCCCTGACCTTATATATACCTAGAGTAAATTGCATTGCGATGAGGCTAGAATTATTATATCCTTACACGTAACTTTACACTTAAGGGGAACTATGAACACTTGAAATCTAGTCAATCGGATTCGTTATACGAGTACAATAATTAGATCACAGAAACACATCGTCGGTGACATTGATGACAATATGTTCGCGCGACTCGGCGTCGTCGCCGGATGAGGTGTCTTCGCGTGAGGTCGTGGCGTGCGGCGGGGGGCGGGGGGACGCGTGCTCTCGTGGGCGGTCGAGGGGGGGCTCACCTTGCGGCGCCGGCTCCGACTGCAGCACGTCCTCCAGCGCCTCCTCGTTCAGCGTCTGCAGCGCGCCGCAGATCATCTGTTCCTCCAGGGTCACCTGATACAAGGATCGGTTCACCGTTACTAGGTTCTTTGTTCGACTAGTGATTCAGTAGTACGACAATAACTGATCATATTTCATACATGACACATGGAATAACGGAATTATACCTCAAAGACTACGACGGAATCGACGTGCATTACGAACGGTCTATCTTAACAGCATAATATTCCAAATATCTATTTGAATGTTGTCAGACAACCGAATTGCATAAATTCCATTTAACTTCTACCGGAAAATGAAAACATGAAAGTTACAGTCTATGTACATAAGTTATGATGACGTCGAGGTAAAATTAACAAAATCTGCTGAAGCTCCAATTTTTAACAATGATTAAAAGATGGCCATTATACATCTTACAGTGTGTTTTTACCTAACTATATGGTCGGACTCCTCTTCCGTTTGTGAGTTCTTCTGGGTAGATAGAGATTTATTTCTATCCCCTTTGATCTATTTCTACCCCCAAGGAGTAGTGCTTTGCTCCAGTGTGAAGGGTAAAAGGGGGCCAGTATAATTACTGGCTATGATGCATTCCATCGTAATCCTCGTAATATTTGAAGTTGCTTACAGGCGTCTGTGGGACGCAGTAGCCACTTGTCACCAGGTGGACCGTAAGCTCATTTATTGCCTAAATGTTATTTTAATTAGTTTACTTGGACAACATGGCGGTTCAAAACGAAAGCCAGTTTAGGAAGACGCTAGGAAAATAACGTGGCAACTATAAGATTAAATATTATAAAGCTTCAAATTAATATTCTACAATGCGTTTGTGTAACCCTGGTGGAAAAAGTGGTTGGCTTCGTTTTGACGTTTGGTGTCCTTATATTGTGTAAATGTTTCAGTATCATAGTATATTATACAATGTAACAAAACTGAAGTTTTATTTAATACGATATTGTATTAGGTAGGATCAATAGGTAATTAACTTATCGTTTTTATTAGTTCGACGATGTGACTCAATGCCACGACTAACGTTGAACAAAAGAAAAGGTCAAATGTTATTATGACAATGTTTCAAAGAGTAGGTTTTGTATGATTTATGGTCGAATTTAATTTGAACAATTTTATAGTATAATATCTTTTCTTAATTTCGATCTAAATCAATATCAGTTTTTGTTTATTTAACGTGGATGTGTAAGAATGGTTACACTGGTTCTTGTACTAAATTGTCAAGTTTCATAAGTTTTATCTGGTTTTATGTCTGGTTTTATGTTTTGTGGATAAAAACGATAAAAAATTATAAATTTAGTTTAGTAAATTCAGTATGTAAGTTTATGTTTTTTTCTTTTTAAAACCTTAATCTTGTCGAAGTTTCTACTAGTTATACAGATAAAAATGATAATGAAAATGAAAATATAAAATGTAACACAAATACTATTTAAATACAATCGTGCAACTAATCAACACTATTTTTGTACCAAAACACTGTTCATTCATAATTACCTGATACTCCGTATATGGCTGCAACACATATGAACAGTAAGTTACCTATATGAATTTATAAGGAACAAGCCATATTTTTTTTGATATTTTAGTTTTTTTTTCACACACAGAATTATGTTACATTAGAAAAAAAAACTTTTTACTGATTTAAAAATAAAATCTTTAATAAATCTTTACCTGTTTTTCAACATTAGATGGACGACTGCGCTGATGTTCTAACACGGATCGTGGCTTCACTGGTTCTGTTTCTGTTTCAGTAGATTTCTCAGGAATTACTGAAAAATAGGTACACAGTGTTGAAACATATTATTATGCTAAAAGTTAAAGTATTACAACGCTGATAAATATATGCCCTAAAAATATTAAAATTAGATGGGAGGTATGTAGGAGGAATCTAGTAGGTAAGGGCGCGTTTTGGAAGCTTACTCGTACGTCTATAGAAACTATATTTTTTATTTTACGTAAGGCACTTATTTAAATTTTTCCGTTTAAAAACTTCTGCCCAAAGGCAGGAGGGGGTTCCCCGTTATAAAGGGGCTTTGTAACCTTGCGCCCCTAGGCACGTGCCTACTTTGTGTTAAGGATAATTCGCCACTGCTGGTAAGATATGCAGGAAGTCGATGGATGCAAGTGGCACAGGGTTGTTATGAAAAGTAGTGTAGGTAATAGGTATATAGTTTACCTTGCACAGCGGGGGTATTAAGAGGCAATCCTGCTTCCAGTTCTCGAAGGTTTGTAATGAGCAATTTGAATAATTCCCAGTCACCGAATGGCAAGTCTAGAATCTGTAAATCAAGGAAAAGTATTCTAAAATAGTAATAAATGTTTCTTTTTATAATACTTATTATTGTAATTAGGTTTTTTTGGCCATATATTTTAGGAATATAAGTTTAATTCGGAATTTTATTATCTTTAAAATAATTAGAACTTTGTTTCATTTTACGTTGAATATCGTACGAATAAAGACTGCATTAAATGTTATATGAGTGCTGCAAAATACTCGGATCGTCGCGTTGTACAAAATAAATAAATTGATAATGAATTAGCATAACGCGCATATTTTTATGATGTTGACGTAAAAAATCATCACTGCATTTAGTCTCGATGGTTGTCGTTGTCTCTTAATATAAGAATGTTCAGAATGACAAATATAGCGTCTAGTATACACTAGATTACATGATGAAAAATATCTAGACCGGGGGGCGATGAACAGAAAAAAACCAAGCCGGCAAAATATCTGGTATTGCAATTCCCTCTCCGCCTCTCCACGTCCACGGCTGGATATGGGATCTGCCTATCGACGGAAGCAAATCCCATATCCAGCCGTAGACTTATAGGGGCTGATAAACAAGATGATCGTCTTTCGAATTTAATTTTATTTAGTAACTCATATAACTATAACAATAATTTACCATTTATATTTATTTATACAAAATTACTTTAATAATTGCTATAAAACATGCTCGCGCCAACGCATAAATTGTATTGCATTGACTCAGTAAAGTGCACTAGCACAAGGTCGGCCCACCCCCTGCCCCGTAAATCCCCCCACCGTTGCTCTGCAAAAGTATATTCATTTCCCAACTGTAAGGTCTTTAAACTGTGGTTACACAAATGTGACACTTCGTTTAATATTGTGCCTAATGAATTACGAGGGCGACACTGAAAGTTTTTAGAACTGGCTACTAGTAAACCATATATTTAAAAAATAAGTTCAACTTTTGAAAATGGAACTCTTTGCCAATATTATTGTGTATGTATTTTATTTTATTTTTGTTATTTGGGATTTGGCGGCTTGAAAATTGTCTGTGTCACGTTAGCATTAATTTAACGCGAGAAAATTTTCGTACAATGATTTTGTACGATTTTCGATGTTATTTAAGTAGACAAGAGAGTTATGATGGACTTCAATTGGCCTTTCACGATGAGGCCCCATCTCGTGCCACTGTTTACAACTGGTTTAATGAGTGGTCGCACTAATCTTACCGATGATCTGCATGAGGCAAGGCCTTCTACGGTGGCGACTGAATATAACCCTACCCTACACCGATGACTCCTACAAATCATCACAAAAATAATGCGATTTAATATTTACAAATCACTATAATTGATCATTCCTATGGTAACTATTGAATAGATAGGTAATGTAAAAAACTAGAAGTAATATCATGGATACACTAGATGTACAACAACATCTGAAAAAGATTCATCCCAGTCTAAAAAAATAATGTTTATGCTGCTAATAGACTGCCCATGTATACTCACGTACCAACATATTTAATATGCAATTTGGATACAAATGATAAACCAGTTTCACATTGGATAGCTTTATAAATCGATACGAATGGTATCGGTCAATATTTTGATTCATATTTTTTTTTTTATATAGAATAGAGAATAATAAAAATTGCTTAATGTATTTGCAATATAAGTTTCAGGTTTGTTCAATGCACAGTTTTACAAGCATATTTACAGGTTTCGCTCCTATTTTATGATGATAAGCAATAACATTTTAGAAATAAAAATTGTATTAAAATTAAGGATTGTGTTTTATTGATGATTCAGAATAGCGTGGTAGTTATAATACAATAGTACTGATTAAGCAGGGTGTACAACGAGTAATAGATAAGAGCGATAATGACGGTGTTCAAGGAACAATAGATAAGAGGAAAGGCTGAACAATAAAACGCTAATGAGGGTGCAAACCCACCGGATATCAATTAGATATTAGTTAATTGATCTGTACATCTCTGGAACCGCGCATCCTACGGAAAAAAGGACCGCAGGTTCGTGATCAGAGCATGCCTAAACTTTTTATTTCGACCCATAGTCAGCCGATGAAGGCTGTTGTACCAATTCTTGTTCGTGAGCCAGAACTGGTACATATAAGCTAACTACTATTGGTGTCGTGAAATGGTTCAAAGATTTAACGGAGGCGACACAAATGCTATGTTTGACATACTTACGAAAGACGAAAGCTGGATTTATTGTTATGATCTTGAAACTAAGAGACAGTCTGATGTCTGGGTGTTTCCTTCCGAGGAGTTGCGCCAACTAAAGTGAAGAGAGGTCGAAGCGTGGGAAAAAAGATGGTAGCCTTGTTCTTCGGAAGGACAGGTCATTACGCAACAATTGTTTTAGAGGATCGAAAAACAATTACTGCAGAGTGGTACACTAACAATTGTTTGCCACTTGTCTTGGAAAAAATTCGGGAGAAACGACCTCGCAGTAGGATCCTCCTTCACCACGACACCTCATCGCACACCGCCAAGCAAACAATCGACTACTTGGCGACGTCAGACGTGGAATTACTGTGTCACCTGCGCTATAGCGCTGACCTCGCACCTTGCAATTTTTATTTATTTTCGAAAATAAAAGAAAAACTTCGAGGAAAACGTTTTATGGACGCCGAGAAAGCAGGGGTTGCGTTTCAAAATGCCGTCGAAGAGAACTCTAAGGACGAATGAGCCAAGTGCTTTTCTCAGTGGTTCCAAAGGATGCAGCGATGTATTGATGTAATTGGACTCTATTTTGAAAATATATAATAAAAGTAATAACTTGCTAGTTTGTTTAGTTTTTGATTTTCTAATAACTTTCATTGTACACACTAACAGCATATTCCTACAACTAAAAAAAACTATATTGTGAGTTTATAAGATTACACTATATATATATATATATATATATATATATATATATATATATATATATATATATATATATATATATATATATATATATATATATATATATATATAAAAAGCGGAAAAAGTAGTATGTAATACGAGGCGAATACTATATTGTAAGTTTATAAGATTGTAAAATGCAAAGCGTAAACTTACTACCAAGCTAGGGTTGCCAGGTCTTTAAACCGAAAAGCCGGACAGACCATCCAGCTTAGCCGGATATTTTGATAAAAAGGCCGGACACCCTTAATTATTTAGTCTTAGTATAACACGATAATATATTTTCAAAGTAAAACAATGCTTATATCATTTATCATAAAATCTTAAATTAAAATTGAATGAATCAGTGTTCTTTATTATTAATCATTCAATATTTATTACAATATTAATTTCAATAATTGCAATAGTATGTATTTAAGTACTTGAAAAATGTAATAAAAATGGTCAAATATAAAAAGTCTGACAAAAGCCGGACAGGCCGGACACCGTCTAATTTGGCCAGACACGCAATCAAAAACCTGACTGTGTCCGGCTTTATCCGGACGCCTGACAACGCTACACCAAGCCAATGCCTACAGAACTTCGGTACAATCACGGTAATTTTATCTATACAGTATTCCAACTTCATACAAACGGACGAAGCGGGAGCTATGCCTACGCGCCTCGATCTCGGCATGCGCTGGCATGCAGGCAGTCGTGACTGTGCCGCAGTGATGATTTTGTGGAATATATAAAAAAATGGAGGAAATATTCTGAACTTCAATTAAAACCAAACATATAAATTGTAAAGTAGCTGCAGGTATCTATAACCAAGTAAAAGATATTCCTTTTCTCCACCCTGTCCATGTTTACCAAAACAATTTTTAATTAAGCTTTATATTAGAATGCGGATTTTTTATAGTTAAAAATTTAATAATAAAGCATTTCGTACGTCTCAGCTTTACATTTACGCTTTACATTTTACAATCTTATAAACTTACAATATAGTATTCGCCTCGTATTACATACTACTTTTTTTAGCTTATATATATATATATATATATATATATATATATATATATATATATATATATATATATATATATATATATCTCCGTAAATGGTAAGTGGCTTCTGCACTACGGGTCTGGGTTCGATTCCCATACGGAACAAATATTTTAATGGCCTACAGATAGTTGTGAAAATTTGTGTTTGTAATCGCACCGTCTCCGATTCAGGAGAAATCCTGGGGCAACGTTATAAAAAAACAATTACTACTAATTTTGTTGAATATTGACAAAACAAAAACAAACCTATTTAGGTAACTTTAACTTTTTTTTTCATAAAGTTGCACCACACTCGATCTCCTGAATCGTAGACGGCGCGATTACAAACACAAATTTTCATATACAGAAACACCTGTGACTAGTAGCGCAACAACCAATCGCTTAGCCACTGCACCAAACCTGTCATATGCTAAATTTCTACATAATATTGTAATCACTAATACTGTAAGTAGATAGGTCGGTAGATACTTCATTAAGTTTATCATACGCTTCTTATTTTTATTACGCTTATTTCCCATTGCCCCAACACTATAAATCTAAGTGTCTATTTTAATATTTTAATTTTACGTCGTCCTGTTGCGTAATGTGTGTTCTGAGCACAAGCGACACAACCCTTACCTTCAAAAGCCGGAGCTAGAGCACGGTAATATTATCTATACAGTATTCCAACTTCATACAAACGGACGAAGCGAGAGCTATGCCTACGCGCCTCGATCTCGGCATGCGCTCGGCATGCAGACTGTCGAGACTGTGCCGCAGTCATGATTTTGTGAAATATATAAAAAAATGGAGGAAATAAATAATATTATAGAAATAAAGAAATAATAAATCTGAACTTCATTTAATAACAAACATATAAATTGTAAAGTAGCTGCAGGTATCTATAACCAATTAAAAGATATTCCTTTTCTCCACGTTGTCCATGTTTCCCAAAACAATTTTTAATTTATATTATTTTTAGCTTTATATTAGAAAGCGGATTTTTTTATATTTAAAAATCTAATAATAAAGCATTTCGTAAGTCTCAGCCGAGGTGCAAATATTTTATTCAAACATAAACATGGTTTTTTAATTAAATCTACCAATCAAAAAACGACACGCATTTTTATTAAACACTTCCTATTCAATTCACAAAGTACCTATTTTATTTGTTTATATAAAAAGTATATTTACAATCATAAAACTAAATGAAAACACAAAGTAGGCAAATATAAAAATGCTGGAGGCAGGTAACCCTATCACATGTTTACGTGCCGCACGGCTGTAGGCATTTATTTGAAAGATACGGCTGAGTTACAATACTGTATAGATAATATTACCGTGGCTAGAGTGAATGACGGTGTGGGGCGGTTTGAAACGACGATAGTTTAGGTAATTTCTTTTTACGGTGAAAGTGATGATAAATAAAAAAAGTAAATAACATAAGCCCTGCTTTATAGTTATTTCAGTTAGTATCAAGTATATTTTTAAGTATTTTTTGAATACCGGCGGTTTATAGTTCGGTTTGGAGGTAACTTTGGATTTTTTTCTATCGAGAAAATTTTATGGAATCGTGTTTTCGTCTAACATAGTACTTAACATTAATCCTCAACTTCACCGTATATTTATTTCAAAAACAATGCTGCAGTATTTTCGGCATAACGGAGTATCTTGCTAAGCCATTTGAAGTACTATGCGCCCTTAATAATAAAAATTTGGCTCTGTTTGTAGGGAAAAATAAAATAAGACATTAAATTGGAATACAATATTTAAACGTTGAACGTAAAATGAAATATGTTTTCTACTGATTTAAATATATTACCGTTTTTATATTCGTATCTGATATTCTATTAACTGATTTAATATTTATTTTAAGTACACGTACGTGAAACGTATTAAATATGTATATTATTTTTGATTACAACGTCAAGCGTGTCATATCTGAACAGATCATTTATAATGTTACCGAAATATAGGTGAAGCTTTCGTGGAGACGAGTGAGAATTCATAAAAACAATGCAATTTTGTTTGTTTTATCGATAATACTGGTAGTTAAGTGAAAAAAGTCACTTCTTGACTATTTTTTTTTCTCGAGAGGTTAACGCGGCGTCTCAGTGCGCATGAAGGCATATTTATCAGGCTCATGTTTGTCGTGAAACGATAAAGTGATTAAGTCAGAGTCCAAACAATGAAGGTTTTAGTGTCGGTCTAGTACGTAGTACAAATATAGATATGTGGACAAAATATTATATATGTTGTGTGGTATAGTGTGGTGTGGTGTGGTGTGGTGTGGTGTGGTGTGATATGGTGTGGTGCGGTGTGGTGTGGTATGAGCGTGCAAGCGTGTGGCTCCCGTACCGGTTTGAGTTCGTCGAGGTGGCAGGCGGCGAGCACGAGCCCGCTGACGTGGTGGTGCAGCAGAGCGCGCGCCGCCGCCGTGCCTGCCGACCCCAGCGCCGCGCGCACCAGCGCGCCCGCGCGCTCCGCGCTCAGCGTCGACAGCCGCACCGCGCCCACGTCTCCCTGACACACATCATAATATACTCCTATATACTATACAGGTGTCCCAAAACTTGACGTCAACCCGGAACCGGGTGAAAAGGCAAGTCATGCTGGTTGTCAGAAATATGTAAAAAATCTAAGTTGCATGTTTTCAAAATTATAGGCATTTAAAAAAAAAACGAAAATTTTCACAGACTGTGACGACAGCCTTGTCACTCTCGTTGCTTCAAATCTTTACTTTTTCCAACTTTTTTTTTGTTGTGAAACCCTGAATAATGCTTTCTAAACTGTTATCAAAATTTCAAAACCAGCTGCTCTAGCTCGCGTAAATATAGGACTTATTTTCATTTATTTGGGTCAACAAACAGGTTCACAATAAGAAGTTTACAAATAATATACATATACCGTTAATCACGAATTATAATATAAAAAATACTAAGTTTGTTTTTGTATGTGTAAAATAGTACCTGTAATTGTAACCTAGTTTTAAGATTAAATAACTTGTATTGTTGTAACAGTTTTGAGTAAGACAATTTACTATGATAACATTTAAAATGCATGCATCGTAGGAAGTTCTTTTGCACTCTCTCGAGGCGTTCTGAGTATTTTTTGTAAAAGGGATCCCACACTGAGATGACATATTCAATTTGAAAGCGCATTAGAGATTTAGATAAATACATATATGTACTTGGCCGTTTAAAATCGTAAAATCTTATATAGAGCATCTATTACAAATATTCTCAATATGAGTTTCTAGTGTTGTTTGGTGTCTAATGTAACTCCTAGATCTCTAATTTTATGCACCCTATCTCGATTTGCGCCGCACAGAGAATAATTGAAATCACTTATAAAATTTTCTTGCTGAATATTATATGTTTACATTTATCTAAATCTATGCTAAGTTTCAATTTATTAAGGTCACAATAAGCTGTCAATCGGTTCGACCGAAGAAGATCTCTCTAGTTTTCATCAGATTGATCGCAGAAAACAGACGTTCAACATTTGCACTGCTATGTAGCAATGTTAATAAATTTTGTGCAAATTGAGTCAATAAAGGAAACATTTGAATTTGACGAATCGCCTTTTCTTAATTTTTAAATATTCGAGACATTTCGTTTTACACACTCACATAAGTCTCAGCACAGTTCTATGGAATGCAAACTCTATCTTATTGTGTGGCGAGCTGTCGAGGCCACTATGCGTTAGTATGAAACTTAATGTTTTGTAATGAGTAATCATCGATCACTAATAAGTAACTAGATACACAATCCCATACAAAAGTTCTCTAAAAACTGTCAAGCCAAGGTTGTGACGTAATTCTAGTTGAAATAAATACACATTTATGTAAATTCAACCTTAAATACATCGCCTATAGTTGTATTCACAAAGATACGTACGAAAAGCAATAAATTTTTATGACTGATACTAGCTGGTCAACCTATATCAAAACAAATTCAACCTTACACGCGTGTTTTAAAGTCAGAATTACAAAGTGCTAATAAAAAGCAATCAAATTTTACGACCGAGGCTCGTACCTTGTACAAGGAATCATTGGAGTCGAACTGCCCAATATTTTTCTTTACTGTTATTTTAATTTTAAAATGTTTAAAACTTGTTTTAAAAACTGGTGTACATAAAGCATATTCTATTCTATTCTAAGGTGCATTATGTGTACAACACGTACGAATTAACTTGAGACTCCGCTGGAATGCGACCCCCTTCCCGACTCCCCGAACCGCGTCCCGCGCTGGCCGTCCGCGCTCAGTACCGATAGCATTTTTGTTACGGATACGCGTCTCGACTCTAGTTCGATATTTTTGATAATTGTTTGTTGTTTGGTTTGGACTTTTGTTTGTTTTTGTTATACTTGAACGTTATTTTATCTGTTTGTTGTTAATTGCGTTGTTTTATTGTTAAGTTTGGACGTTGTGTTGTGCCGTTTTCTTGTGACGCTTAGGAGTTACTCCGCCTTTTTTATTTTTAAAAAAAAGATGGGAGGAAAGACAATACATAGCCAAGCACGGAAACTTGCTCTAAAAGTTTTAAAATTTTTCGAAGATGAAAAATCAAATAAAAAGTTTCTTATTCTTGTGGACCAAGCTTTAAAGAGGGCTTGTGCAGCAACAGGCATATCAAAGGCAACACTACTAAGAATGAAAAACGAGGCGAAAAAAGTTCAGTCAATTTCTCAAGACCAAAATGATGATGTCACAGTAGTATCGGAACCATGTACTTCTCAAGCAAGACCAGAACTTAAACTATCAACTCCAGGAAAAAAGGAAACAGAGCTCAAAAAAAATTGAACTCGACAATTTTGATCTGTGTGCTCTAAGAAACCTTGTTAACAGTTTCTATACAGTACGGAAAGAAATTCCAACATTGAAAAAGATTTTAACGGCTGCAAAAGCAGATCTAAATTTTCCAGGTACGTACCCATATTTATTGACATTTTTTATATGTATTATATATCATACTTTAGGTCATATCATATACAAGGTGACATTTAATTCAAGCATAATCTTGTTAGGGGTGCTAGAACTGGTAATTTGCAACAATTTTATGTATGGACACCCATATGCAAAAGTGAACCATTTCTGAGATATTTAATTTTAAATTATTTTTTGAAAAAATACCACGCGATAACTAAAAATTAAAAATAAAATCTTTATTTTACAGGTGAAAAAACCACGTTACAACGAATACTCGTTGACTACTTGGGGTACAAATTTAAAAAATGTAAGAACGCAAGACAAGTCTTAATACAAAAGCCAGACATTGCTGCCTGGAGAGCCCGTTATTTACGAAGGAAGAAAGAAAACAATGAACTTGGGGTGGACAAAAAACCCGTAACTTATTTAGACGAAACATGGATTCACTCCCACTATAATAATAATAATAAAGCCTCTTTATTCCTTAATAGAAAATATTTACAATACAACAATTATATGTACGCTTAGAAAATAAAATAAAATATATATTTCAATTAAGGACCCCCCTTTGGGTAAAGGCCTCCTCCATCTTTTCCCACTCTTTTCGATTCTGTGCTATTTTTAAACAATTTTTTCCTGCTGTCTTTTCAATCTCATCGACCCATCTTTCTTTCGGTCTTCTTTGCTTGCGTTTGCCTGTTGGTGGTGTCCACATGGTTACTCGTTTAGTCCATTTGGTATCTGTAGATCGTGCTACATGACCTGCCCACTTCCACTTCAATTTTTGAGAGTAATATAGTGCGTCTCTCACTCTCGTTTTCTTGCGAATGTCATTGTTTTTGCATTTATCTTTTAGTTTTAGGTTTAGGATACTTCTTTCCATTGCACGTTGACATGATAGTATTTTATTCCTTGTTTGTCTATTGAAGATCCATGTTTGGCAGCCATATGTGAGACAGGGAAGTATGCAGGAATCCATGACTTTCTTTTTTAAATTTAGCGGTAGATCTGCTTTGAGTACCTCTTTATGTTTCCAAAACTTATTCCAGGTTAAAGCAATTCGCCTATCGATCTCGTCTTGATTTCTAGAAATTTTAAAAGATGTTTGTTTGCCTAGGTAGTTATAGTGATCTACATATTCAATGTCTCTATGTCATCTACTTTTATTGGGTGTTTTGTGCTATTTGTGCATACCTTCGTTTTTTCAGTGTTTAGTTTTAGGCCTATTTTTGTGCTTACATTGTTAATTTCTTGTATCATGGCTTCAAGTTTTTTATGTGAATCGGAGAAGATAACAATATCATCGGCGAAGCGAAGGTTGTTCAAATAGTTGCCATTGAGATTAACTCCTGCTTTATTCCAGGATAGGTCTTTCATAATGTGTTGTAGTACCGCTATGAAAAGTTTAGGTGAAAGAGGATCGCCTTGTTTTACTCCTCTACGTATTTTGATCTCAGGTCCTGTAAGATCAAGTTTAACTCGGCTTGTGCTTTGTTCATAGATACTTCTTATGATAGCTATATGTGTTTGTGGTATTTTTTGCTGTTTGAGAGCTCTCCATATACTGTCATGGGATATAGAGTCGAATGCTTTTACGTAGTCTATGAATCCGAGATATAGAGGTTTATTGAACTCTACAAATTTTTCAATTATTAAATCTAAGGTATGGATATGATCTATGGTGCAGAAACCTCTACGAAAGCCCGCTTGTTCTGTAGGTTGCTGTTCGTCTATTTGACCTCCTATCCGTTTTTCTAGGCACAATGCGAAAAGTTTATATATCGCAGGTAACAGACTTATAGGGCGATAGTTGCTAGCATTCGTTGGGTCACCTTTTTTTGTACAAGAGAATAATTCTTGATTCTGTCCATTTTTTGGGAACGCTACGTTTTTCTAAAACTGTATTAAACAGTTCCATGAGAGGCGCAGCTAATAGATGTTTGCCAAGTTTCAAAGCTTCGTTAGGAATACCGTCAGGACCGGGACTTTTATCATTTTTCAGGTTGTCTATGTTTCTGATGATTTCTATTTCGGTAAACTTATCAATTCTTGTGGAGTCATAGACCTCCTCTAGTGTTTGCTCAGATTCCAGAGTATCTATAGTCTGCGCTTCATAGAGGTTCTTATAAAATTCTGTTGCGATATTGACAACATTTTTCCTTGTCTGAATTCCGTGTTTATTTGTTTTAAGTTGTGGTATCCAATTTTTATTTTTATTTAATTGTATATCGGCTTTTTTGAGACTCCCAGTGTTATTAAGATGCTCCTCTAATATTTGTATTTTATGTTGTTGGTAATCTTTTTTTTAATTTTTTGTTTGCAGTTTTGAATAATTGTGATAGCTCTTTTTTTCCTCAGAATTGAGATGTTTTTTATGTTGAAGTTCTGCACGTCTTTTTAACAATGATTTAGTTTCTAAAGTGATGAAACAGTTCCTTCGTAACGGTTCTTGAGATTTCGCGTGTTTTATGCAATATTTTATCAAAGATTCGATTTTTTCATAAAAAGACTCTATGTTGTCGTTTTCTCCAAAGTATAGTTCTTTTGACTTTTGTTCAAGGGTGTTCTGGTATTTATTTTGGGCAACTTTTTCTTTTAATGTAGAGTTCGTAGAGCTAAAATATTTTCTCGTTTTCTTCTGTTTTCCAAGACTTATAGTACCTCGTACCAGCCTATGATCTGTTGGAAATATATTATTATTTATTACTTCTATGTTTGTAAATTGTTTTAAATTATTACTTAAAATTAAATCGATTTGGTTTTTTGTCTTTTTATTGGGGGAAATCCATGTCCACTGGGATGTTGATTTTTTTTTTAAAGAAAGTGTTTATTATTTGAAGTTTGTTCTCCAGAGCGTATTGAAGAAATAAGTCACCCCTGTGGTTTCTTTTTCCATAACAGAAAGGTCCCATAACCTTAAGTTCTTTACATTCCCGTTGCCCAATTTTGCAGTTGAAGTCGCCTATTAAAATAAGGTTGTTTGCAGCAATAGATTGCGCTTTTCGTATTGTGTCATAGAACTCATGCATCTCTTGGTCTTTTGCGTCTAATGTAGGTGCGTACGCTTGAATAATGGACAGTTCTTTTTCCTGAAACTTTAAACCGCATATATTATATTTATACCTCTTCAAAAAAAGTTCCCTACCCCTCTCTCCTCTATAATATTTATATTAGCTAGGATTTTTAAGAAGTGCCAGTCTTTCTGGTGACTTTAGAGATCGTATATTATATGTACAGATGTAAAGTTTTTGCGATGGAGCGACAGTCGTTCTCTCCCGCGGGGACTAGCCGTATTGGGAGAGGAAGAGGAAGAGGGGCAGGTGATTGTTATTTTGCATTGTTGCTTATTCGGTTAGAGTTTTCTGATTCTGTAGAATTTTGTGTCAAGTATTGTTTCATATTATTTTTATTTTTCTTTGTGGGTTGTTTGTTATTCGGTTTGTCGATTTCCTCTACCGAAATTGTTACCTTTTGAGATTCTGATAGAATTCGTTTGTTTGTTTTTTTAGTATAGTTTATTTTCTCAGCGTTTTTATTTTCTTTTAATATTACTATTTTATCGTATTTAAGCTTTACTTGCAGTTCTTTTCTTTTTTGAAGCACTTCTAATGGAAAATCTTCTTGTATGTAGTATGGTGTGCTCTTTAGAAGGTTTTTCTTTTTAATAATTCTATCTTTTTACCCATCGTGGTGAAGGTTACAATCACCGGTCTTACTTTTTCGCTCGGTTTGCCTAGTCTCCTAACGTACTCTATGTTGTTGGCTCCACAGTTTGCTTTCATGTGTGTGTTTATTAACTCTAATATGTTTTCCTCTAGATCATGGTAGGTTTTTTCTTCTTTACTAATATAAAAGAATATAATATTTCTTCTGCGCAATGATCTATCTAAACTCTCAATGGTTTTTTGTTGTTTTTCAATTTTTTCTTCCAGCAACAAATTTTTTATTTCGATATTCTTAACCTTTTCGTTTATATTTTCATTTATTGATTTTGTAATTTCATCTTTCATATTAATAGCAATAGTTTAGATTAGATTTTATTAGGCTGTAGTTTTGCTGCTAAGGATTGCATGCTGTGTTCACCGTTATTAGAATGAACGTATGTTTGTTACTTTTTTATGTTACCTGAACCATGTAAACGTTACATTCCATTTGTGAATCAAATAAAAAAAAGGAATCCATCCGGGTAGTTATCACCCTTCACAATTCTGTTCTCTACCTTATAGCAGTGTGTGCTCTGTTACTGCATTCCGGCGTGAAGGATTTTGAAATTAGGTGTTGAAAGTCAGTATGATTACAGGCCGTTAGGCGTTAGCGTGGTCAGCAGAAGTGACAACGCATCTGTAGATTTCTTTGGAGTTGGTGGTAGGTGTTCATAGTTTGCAGTAGCCACCTACCATCAGGTGGACTGTAAATTCTATATAACTTAAGTTTTATAAAAAAGATTAACCTTTTTCGATACTTTTATTATAACAACAAAATTTGGTTACGTGTCCAAAGATACTCGTCATTATTGAGACATGTAATCAAATATTAAATATAGAGAATAGTCCCAAATGGTACTTTTATTTTAAATTATATAATAAATAAGATAGTCTGAATACCAACCAGATTCGGGAAAGCAGTTTTTAGCAATGTGATGGGGTTGGCGGCTAGCGGCGGTCCGGTTTGTGGAATTTGTGACATTTGTTGCATTTGCGGCATTTGTGACAGTTGCGTGTACTGTGTGTTCGCCCAGCCCACCCACAGCGGCGGCGCCGGGTTCGGGCCCAGCGGCTGTCCGACCGTCATCCTCTGCTGCAATGTACAGTACAATTGTAAAAAAATACAGGTAAATATTTAAGTAGAAATTTAAACAGTTGTGAAACTAACTTTTTACATACGTGGTAGAGCCACGCTGCAGCTATATCATGGTTGTAGCACGAATGGGTCGGCACGACCGGTGAACAACCACGCTCTCACAGAATACCAGCGTAAAATAACAGCTTAATACTGCTGTGTTTAGTATGGTAAGTGTAGAGACATTTTTTAACTGGAAACGAGGCATTCTATCTTAGTCCTTAGGGGTGACAACGTATCTGCGTTTTATTAATCGAAAATAAACGTAGATGTCTATGGGCCACAGCATCCACTTACCATCAGGTGGACTGTGTGCTCGTTTGTCAATCTTATTCCATAAAAAAATAAACTTTCGTCAAATATAAAGAAGCAAGTAAGTCCAAGATTATGACAAATAAAATTTTTTTTAATGTTTGTCTTATAAGTTATTTACTTTTTTCCCGGGCAACAACTTGGAATGTGGATGGCGCATGTTTTGTTGACCCCAAGGTAGAGTCGCTACTAGCGTTTCTTCTTCCGCTCCAGTCTGTAGCTGTTCTTCTGTAAAATAGAAACACAACATGAATATGAATATGTATATATTTTAGAAATTATTCCAGTGAACAAGTTCCCGTAGATAATTTTTAAAATAGCGCAGAACTTTACTTACTACCAGGACCATAGCAATAGACAATATAATCATAGAGCTGCAAGTAGTTTTGTGAAATTAAAATAAATGATTTGTCTTCTTGTAATAAGCACGTAATTACGGGACTACTGTAGATGAGATTTTATTTTATTTTTAAGTTAGCATAATCATTAAGTCCGCTTTCAGATATGCTGTTTTGAATTGTTTCGTTGAAAGGAAGACACACATAGGTACATCTATATTGTTCTCTTGAAGAAAGTCGGCAAGACAGCTCAGGTAATTTACTAGGGAGCTCATGCTTTATCAGATATACATCATCAGTCTATATTATTTTGATATAATATGACAAGCAAGTTTACAGGCTATAAACATCTGCCAACAGTGGCGTACGCGAGATCTTGACATGGGGCAAGCAAAATTTTTCGAAGCTAACCTAGGTATTTTATATCTGGCATAAAACTCATAGTTAAAAAAAATCATTAACCGCCATCTTCCTATATAAGCCATAACAACTTTCTAGGGATTCTTGTCGATTCCTATTCCTGTTGTATTACGACATAAATTTATGTAATTTAACTATGGCAATTATTGCTATGAATTGCCATAGCACTACTAATATTAATATCTCTACTAATATAATGTTAGAAAGAGTTGTTGGACATAATTTTCACGTCCAACAACCCTTTCTAACATTGAGTTTTATCGAGAATAACAAATGTTATTTTGATTACACAAACAACTCGACCACCGGTTTGTGGATTTGTGGTAATGCCAATATTTAATATAATTACTATGATGGTGTTTGGGATTAACACTAACGAATCAATCAATACATATAAAAATAGTTTCCACACCACGTTTGTTTATCTGTGCACTATATTTTTCCAGAACTACTAAAAGGATTTTCCATCAATCTTAAAGTACCTATAAATACTTTATTACCTGCAACTTTGTTTTATACTATTAATTATTAAGAAGTGCACTATTTTATTTGACTATTTCAAGTTACTTTTGTAAGAGCCAATGTTGGGATAACCCGCCGTTAAGCACAGAATAAATAATAGTACTACGTACAGAACACGGAACAGTTCACATCAGATCTGTTGTTTCTATGATCTGTGATACAGAAGTTGCACTCCCTTGATTATTCACAGTTCACTACTTGCCGACATTTTAATAGCCTACATAATAATTATTATATAATTAGATTAATTACGCATGCAAGCTAAATCAAACCCTATCGCTGCGCGTGAGTGTCCGTATGGCTTTGCATATTTTCCCCTTTCTACGTCACGGGCAATTTTTCTTGCTTACCAAGGTCTTTCTTTCAATAAAGATTAAAAATACACTACGTTTATGTGCCTTTTGATTATTTATTTAATTTACAACTGTTTGATTTTAATATAATTTTTAACGTATCTAAACTAATGGTTATTTACTTTCAGAGTGGAAATAACACTAAATGTAACATATAATTTAAAGTAAATACCAGGAAAGAAAACATAGAAACGAAACGATAAAATTGGTATTCGCTGAAAATTTTAGTAAATTATCGGCTGGTTTTATCATTATCATGCTTTCAAAATTGTAAATGAATGTGTTTTCACTAATATACATATGATATTATTAAAACATAAACAACTATTTTATCCTATTTAATATACTAAATTATAAACAAAAATATTTAAGTATTTACAAGAAATCTACTTACTTAAACGGTGTTAAAAAACTTTGAAATTCACTATTACTTCATACGCAACCTGAGGTGCCACGCAATTGTAGGCATTTATCTGACGAAGGTAGCAAGAGTGACAGAGGCCTGCCTCCTTAAGTGTAAATAACGCCACATTAAATATCCAACCCTGGCTAAGCCAAAGTGGGTCGCTATCATAAACATTATTTTAACATTATTGTACCTACTTGTGTTTACAATTATTTTCAAATGTTCCAATCATAGAACAATTTCAATTAACCGAATAATGTAACGATATACCGTTATTAGCGTGTTTTCGCTATTCGTACTGTGTCTAATATGGACTGTGCGGGCTCGATAAGTCGCCATTTCTAATCCCATTCTTTACGTACGGACTGAAGTGGATCGCGCAGCTAGAGATAGAGAGAGCAAGTGGACTATATGTGTTGAATTTATTCGAGCTAATGGACTGATATGAATTAATAATATGAGATTAATCAGATAGGGACGTTCAATTGTAGAATGGTACAACTAAATTAATTATTCATTTACTATTTAATTGCGGCAGTATTAAACTATAATCTATCCTGTATGGAGCACTGAGACGAGTTTCCTCATTCTTCTTTTGCTTTTTGTCTGGAGCTCTAGTTTATTCGACCGAGCGCTCTATATTTATTCTCGCGGCTGGGGTCGCGTAAGAGTTGAGTTCTTACACGAGTTTGCGGGGGTCGGCTCCACACTGCTTGGCTGCGCTAAACGTTGCTCTTTGGACTGTATTTTATCAATGGTGGCATACGAGAATCCATTACCCCATTTTGTTATTTGGGTATCGTAAGAGGCAACTATGAAATATGTCCGAAATCTTATGGCTATTAATATATGGCGAATTAACCATCATAGTTTAACGCTACGAACGTCAATCGCAAAAACACGATTATGGCAAATCCTCTTAACTACTATGATTGATGATGATGCATTCTTGTTCACCTTTGATAACTTTCTTGATGTAGGGGTCTAGGTTGATGGTGAAGGGCAGGAAGATCTTGAGGTCGGCGGCGGTGAGCGTGGCGCGATGGAAGGCGAGGAACACTTCCAGCTTGCGCTCGTCGCGGTCCAGCTCCTGCAGTGCGCCCGCCTCGCGCGCGCGCCCCAGCGCCGGCTTCACTCTGCGCACGCACGCACACACGCACGCATACATATGTATAGATGTTTTATCTCACGAAGGCGTGATCATCGTCTCACGTGTGATTGTGTCCGTAACTGCAGGTAATTTTAGCCAACCCATCGTAATTGAACAAAATAATAAATGTTATTTTGACTCTTGAGCTTACGCACAATATTAAAATGTTCATGTGCATTTCTCAGATATATAACTAACCAGCTATGTTGAGATAAAAATACTATAAGTTAGTAGTAGAGATAGGTGTGGTGAACATGCGTGCACTCGCGCACGAAACAACTTAGACTGATTTACCACACTTTCATTATTAGTTTTTTTTTTAATATTATTAAAAGTATCTATCACGTTTAGAATAATAAACTATGAGTATAACATACTAGAAACTGAAACATAGATAGGCAGCAATATTATTTTTCTGATAACAACTCAATGAAAAAACTGTAGTTGCAAACCCAACTAGCAAGCTTGGTTACTATGGCAAATATCGCCTTCCGTGGCAATATATGAAGGGGGGGGGGGAAGACCTGTACAGCAGTGTACTTTTGATGAAATATAAACAATTAATGAATAATTATATACTACTTTAAAAAAAAACGTATAGATGCCCAAAAATTACTTGAAATGGATCATGGTCATGCCTTTAGATTTTGAATATAAAAAATACAAATACAGAAAAACCTTACTCTATTTCTTTCAGAATTTTTTATTTTCTAACATGATTATTTACCATACTCTCTATTATGATCTCTACCGTGATTTGATTAATAAAATCAAAGGAAGTTATATTAGTGAATTCAGTTTCAAAGACATTCAAAACATATTAAATAATCAATAACTTATACGTGGTAGAGCCATGCTGCAGTTATATCAGTAGTATAGTTTTAGCACGAATGGGTCGACTCGACCGGGGAAGGATCACGCTCTCACAGAACACCAGCTATAAATAGTAGCTTAATGCTGCTGTGTTTCGAATGGTGAGTGTAGAGAACCGGCGACCCTTTTTACTGGAAACGAGGCATTCCATCTTGATCCTCATGGATGACAACGCTTCTGTATTTTTATTCGTAATCGAGGATAGATGTAGATGTCTATGGGCCACAGCAACCACTTACCATCAGGTGGACTGTGTGCTCGTTTGTCACCCTATCCTATAAAAAAAATTGGTTGACCCTGCAGGCCATCCCTGGAACTTCCCGCTAATTTCAAATGCAAAGTGCTCCAAATTTCACCAAATTATGTTGCGAAATCTCGAAGTTATGTTCTTAAAAAAACATATTTTTCAAATTTTTACTCCCTCGATATTCTCACCAACGAATGAACCGATTTTTATTTTCCGAACGGCATTCAACGTCATTTTTCGAGGTTAAGAGCTGATTAGTTTTTGAAATCGATCGGTAAGGCCGTTTAAAAGTTATTCCAAAAAAACAGTTTTTCAAAATTTTTATTTTTGAGATTTCTCAAAATCTACTCGTCCGAATCAGTTCGCATTATAACCAAATCTATTCTACATTGAGATCATTAGAACGCCGCAAACCACATCTCAATCGATTAAGATGTTCTAAACTTATGAAAGGTTTATATTAGAGTTGAGCCGATTAGTACTTTGGCCGATTAGCCGATTAATCAGTTAAGAAATGGCCGATTAATCGGCCCAGCCGATCCCTATCCGATGATAAATTCAAATAGTGGAACAAATTTTTTTCCAGATATCCAGAAATGTCCCGTTTAGCCAAAGTTTTCCTTTGCCCCGCCAGCTCTGTGTATAGTGAGACTTTTTTCTGAGGCAGGGAATATACTAGATATTCTCTGCCTCAGAAAAAAGTCTCATCTACAAAACAAAAAGAAATCGACTTCAACCAGAAAAAACTGAGATTTTGGCCTTTTTGTATCACAATTTGCCACTGGTTAAAATAACAAATAGATTAAATTGAGTATTTCTTTTTAACAAATTATTAGATGATCATAGATTCTTTTTTTTAATAACATTACTGGAAAAAAACTATTTATTGTAATTTTAAGTATAGAAAAATAACAATTTGATTTTATTTTTCGTACAAAAACAATAACAATTTAGTTTCAAGTACAGATATAAGTATGTTATATTTGTCTTTTAAAAATCTATATACGTGTAATTTAACAAACTTTATTCAGGAATTAAGTTTTTTTGTTATGTTAATTAAGAATAATATTATTAATATTTTATTTTATTGTGTAAAAGTTAAAAAGTAGAATTAAAATAGTATAATAGTTAGGTTTTTGTTTAGTTTTAATTAGCTTCCTCAGATTCTTTTTTTAACAAAGTTCCTACGTCCAGAATAATTAACATTAAAACATGAGAGACTGATTTTTCAATAAAATTTATGTATGAACCTACTTATTTTATTATTTATTTGATTTACCTACATATAAATCTGACGTGAGTTTACGCATGGGAGACTTTACTTTACTTTTCTTAAATTTAGCTTTACTCATATCAATGTAGCCGCAGTTACCACGCAGAAAATCACGAAAAACCTTTGCTGAAGTTAAAAAAATAAAAAGCCGATTAATCTGCGGTATTAGCCGATTAATCGCCGACTAATCAGTGACTTCAAAAAGGCCGATTAATCTGTTTCACCAATTAGTCGGCGGCTAATCGGCCCAACTCTGGTTTATATACCTACACACACACACACACACACACACACACACATACATCCATACGGATGTCCACGTGAAATTAAACCGTCAAAACGTCGAGATCTAATGAAAAATCGATTTTCGAAAATCGGGTGAAACCAATAACTTCCCTATTTTTGAAAATTTTCAATTTTCTCAGCGGGAAGTTAAAAAACGATTCAGATAAGATTTTACTAACGCATAAGACGTTATAAAACATATGATTGACTAAATAAATATTGAATTTATTATTGTGCTTTATTAGCACTGACGAAAATGTAATTTAAAAGTGTAGGTAAGATTTTAAAGACTAAAATATGTGTCGAAACTTACTTCTCAAAAATATGTTTTAACGAAGTTGAATCGTCTATGTGTTCTTCATAGGTTTCGTGATGGTAAATAATCCATGAAGTACGGAAAGGCCACTGTTCCGTCAAGTTGACCCACGACGCTAGTTGGTACCAGTTGAATTCTATTTGGAAGGCCTTCAGCAATCGTCCTATACACAAGAAACAGTTTTGACACAAAGGTGCAGAAGTTCAAAATTATAACAATTACCATTGAAATATTTTAATGTGCTGCAGGTGCGGAGACACACATCTCTTAATCATTACTCATTAAGGGGAAATATAACCTCAAATGGCTTAGCAAGATTCTCCGTTGCTTAGAACTTTGCTTTGCTGTTGCTTGTTGCTTGGAGCTTGGAACCGGGCGGCATGAAACAAGCTTCAGGACGCCGATAGTTTAGGTAATTTCATTTTAAGTGAAAATAATGGTAATTTAAAAAAACATAAGCCCTGATTTATGATATAAAAAAAAATTGTTGTGTAAGTTCAGTTAGTATGCAAAGTTTCATGATCTCATTTAAAGTATTTTATGAATAACAGCGGTTTTTTGTTCAGTTTGGAGGTAACTTTGGAATTTTTTCTATCGAGAAAATTTTACGGAATCATGTTTTCGTCTAACATAGTACTTAACATTAATCCTCAACTTTACCATATATTTATTTCAAAATTAATGCTGCAATATTTTCGGCATAACGGAGGATCTTCCTAAGCCATTTGAGGTTATATTTACCCTTAAGCTGTAAAGAGTTCGTATGTAAGATAAATGACATTTGTTAAACGTTGAAGCATTCTTTTTTTTTTCACGCGTAGTGGGCAGTGTAGAAAAACCTGTACGCACCGGAGATGTCTCAGTATATCGATGACTACTTTATGGGTGAGCAGCACGAGGTTTTAGGCGTGTGTATTGCGTAGTTTATTATATAGTGCAGAATGTAACGTATGTATTGCGCAGTGTAGCACGACGTGTATGCCCTGATCGTGTTGAGCACGTCTATAAGATGGCGTATGTTGCGTGAGTTGAGGGAATTTTGGCGGGAACTTGGCCGTCGAAGGATTGTCGCACCTGTTTTGTCGCTTGAATAATGGTTTGAAGTGGATTCAGATTTTGAGAATTAAGTGTCTGCGCGTGTGAACTATCAGAGAAAACGACGAAACAAGTGCTTTAATGTTGATATACAGTTATTTTGATCGCTTGGGCGCCTTATGAACTTGAGTGGCTGTCGTTATCAACTGTCCGCTGGGCTGAGCTATCGTCAAAATCTCCCAAAAACTTATAAAAAATGATAGGCTCAGAAGGGCTAGAGCCCAGAGCCAAAAAGCCAGTTAAATAAAAAAATAAAAACTGCGTGAGTTGACATCACTGATATAATTGTTGATAAAGCATATTTGGTCGAGTATGTAGGAATGCAAAGTAGTGTATAGTGTTTTTTTTTTCAGTTATTTCCATAGCATAATGTCATATGGAATTTTTCTATGGGGTAATGCGGCTGATTTAGAAACTATTTTTGTTTTGCAGAAGAGGGCCATTAGAGCTATTTACAACCTTAAACCGAGAGTCTCTTAAATAAAAATTTTAAGAAATAAATATATTTACTTTGGCCTCTAAGTATATCTATGAACATTTGATGTATGTTCACAAAAATAAAGGTAGTTTTAGTAAAAAAAGTGACATACACTCTGTGAACACTAGGAACACACACAAGCTCCACAGAGTCAGTAATTCATTCTTGGGGCAATGTATACGCTATTGCAACAAATTAAGTCCCAGAAAATATACAAGGTCTCTCTATCACCAAGTTTAAATATTTAATTAAACAAAAACTGTATAAAAAGGGTTATTATGATATAAATAAATACATGGTTGATAATAACCCCTGGGAATGAGGTGGTCGCTTCCAAGCTGTTTCTAAAATAAATTTTGTAAATATTTTGTGACCCTTGAGATTGTAAAATTTATTTTTAAAAAAAAGTCCCGCTGGGTTTCGTGCTGGTTCGTCCCAGGACACAGGTTTTCTTTTGAACCAGTGGAAACGTAAAATATTGACTTTCAATAAGAATTACTTGTAATCTATATTGAAAAAAAAATATTCTATTTTATTCTTTAGGGTAGTGCGCAGTGAACAATGTGAGTGGTGAAATGTGCAATGCAGCGCACAATGTACGCACCAGTGATGTAGAGCACGTTCATGAGGCGGCGCATGCTGCGCGGGTTGACGTCGCTGAAGTAGTCGTCGGTGAGCAGCACGCGGCCGAGGTCCGCGGCGCCGGCGCTGGGCATGGCGCGGTGCAGGCCCGACGCCACGGACGACGCCAGCGACTCCGACGGCCGCAGCCGACGCGCGCGAGCGCTCTCCTTAGTCGCCTGCCCCTTTATGCGCTCCTGGCTCGTCATCAGCTCGGACGTGGACGATAGTCGCCGAGCCGATACCTGACGAATGTTGAGAATATTTTAAATTTATAGTTTCGGAAGTTAATAGAAAAAGAAGAGAATAGAATAAAATAAAATAATAGAATAGTATTAGAAACATTAGAATCTTAAATAAATACGCGAGAGAGTGTAGGAATACGAATCTTGTTGTTAGAAGGACATCAAAGAACAAGAGGATAGAGAAGTTTAATAAATTTCTTAAACAAATCGATTAGAAATATTACTTACTGATCTCTGCAACGAAGTAGAAAAATCGTCAGCTGCAATGGACTGCATGCGCTTGGCGGCGGTCTGCTGGGCGGTCTTGACTCTGCGTAGCGCCGAGTTTTGTAGGTAGAAGGGTAATTGCACCATGTTTCGTAAGTAGTCCCATCCGCCTATGTTGCTCTCCGAGAACGCACGCTTGCTGTTTATTTCTACCGCCTGATAATAAGTTATTTATACAAAGAATGGAGATCTCAATAAATGCTGGATTATTTAAAGAAAATTAACACACAATGCACAAACTTACAAGATCGTATTAATAGAAATGTATATAACAACAAATATCGTATCGTATTTAAAAAAAAATAATTATAATAAGCATGCAACCAAAATTCATCAATATGTAAATAGGTAATTAAACATACGTATGTAACCACAACTTTGTCGGATTTAAAAATAAGAGTTTGATACTATGATTTCTTTATCGTTAACAACAAGTTAAATAATCAATATAACAACTTTTAAATTTTTGAAAATTATTATATTATAAAGCTTAAATTACTAAAGTACGGTCAATCGCAAACTATACGTTTCCAATTTGTATTGCGTGCCTGTCAATTCTAATATTTTTACGCTATTCTACACTTCTATTTCCCAATATTCATTTATTTTTTAAATTTTTCTTTTACAATAATTTTCGTGTACAAGGTGAGGGGCAGTAATTTTTCAATACATCACATGACAATATACATACATATATAATTGAAATTTGTACTTTTAATAAACTTTCATTATATAGACATTTTGACATTCTATACGAAGTCCTTAACATCTTTTCCCAGAATGTCCCAGTTTACTTCCTCATATATAATTTATTAACATTATAAACTTTGTATACGTTACGTGTAATTGGCCATGACTCAATTCCTATACCGTAGAATGGTCATGAATGGACACTGAATTGTAAAAAAACCAAACCAACTAAGGTAAATGTTTTGTTATGCTATTGGTACGGAATGATTTATATAAAAATAATGATGGGTGGATGATAATAGACGCACACATACACACACACACGCACATATACATATACCTACATACACACATACACACACAGTCACATGGAAGTGTATTGGTCGCTTTTAGCGGCCATCAGGTACCAGTAAATGTTTTCAAAGTGAAGGTTTACTATACGGTATATATTGTTGGCTACAGTTCCGCAATATCATATTCTAAAAAGAAGCATTATAGAAGAATAGGGATTACAGTAGCAAGTTATTCAAAAGGTAAAGTAGGCACATGTCTAATGCAGATTTTAAAGAGGTCTGCTGCTGTTAGAGAGTTAGGCGTTTGGGCGTAAATTTCTTTGAAGTAGATAAACTCTCAACAATAAACATAAAATTGTTTGCAATTTTTATTCATATACATTTAATGATATTATTAACAGTTTCTACAGACCGATAGAATAATCTGGCATCTTAAGAAGTCAACTCTTATTTATTTTAAACCATTTTTGGAGGTTAAAAACTTCAAATATTTTATAAAAAAGTAAAATAAACTAAAATACATAAACAACATGTTACAGCAATTTCTATTTCCGTGGTTGGTATATGTATCTATAGTGTCAACTGTAAATTTAGTGAACATCGTAAGGAAATATAGGTATATGTTTTTAAACATCAATCATGCAAAGATACTATATGAGTTGAACTTAATACATATTTAAAAAAAACACAACATAAAAATCGTTATTATCTTGGAGCAACAACGTCGACAAGACATGCAACACTCTAGACATATATCACAACATCAATCGATATCGAACTCTCGTGATGTTTATGAAACTTGATAAGCGCACAACTAACCTCCATCCAAGCAACCTGCGCACACATTAACTATGTTATAGTTATTTTTCATGCTAATTAATATAAGTCTAAATAATACATATGCATATATCAACAAAATCATCATCATTACAGCCCATCATAAGTCCATTACTAAAGCGTCCACCAAGGTATGCCAAAGAGAACGGTCTTGCGCCTGAGCCACCTGCGTATATCGATTTTCTGCATTTCGTACTAGTCATCATTGCATCTTGTAGGGATTGACCTACACGACTAATTTATTTTAAAAAAAGCAGTTTCTTTCTCATTCTCAGATTTCGCACATTCTAATACGCCGTTATAATGTCAAGGTAACGTTAAGTTTCAATAACAACGAATATATAGTACTAGTTAATATGTAGTAGTGTTATTAAGCTGTATGAGAATAACAGTAAATCACGTCAGTTACTTGTACTCAAATGAACATTATTATTTACAGTCCACACGAATAAAGAATGGGATTAGACCACAGGCGTAATAATCGAAAATGGCGCCTAGGGCATGCATCATTGTAGCGTCTCATCGTAAATTATCTTAAAAAAAACAAATATAATAAGTAAAACAGTCATAAATTTAACAAAACATTTATTTTCCAACAACCTACAAAACAAAACATTTATTTTACAACAACCTTCACTCCATAGTTGTAGTACAGCTTCTTGGCTTTCTGTGACGCAACATATGGATGATGTTTTTGAAATCAGTTTTTCCGATTGAACTCGCTGTACACTGAGCAAAACTGGGTTGCATAATCTTTCTTAACCCATTTCATTCATTAATTACAGCCTATCAATCCATAGCTGAACATAGGCCTGCCCATGATATGTAGTCCTCAAATACGAAAGTTAGTAATTTTAACTTACTGAGAGATCTCTCACAACATGCGATGGATACTGCAATTGTGAGAAAATTTGAATGAAAATGCTGAGGAATCCGCTTTCATCATCGTACTGCACAATACATTCAAATATTTTTTTCAGAATTCTTTATTTTGACGTTTTTATCTGTAGATATTAGCATCCGAAAATCAAATATTTTTTCATTCCCCGTTAAATGGCAACCATAGAAGTCTCCAAATTCTTCACATTTCTTTTTAATCTTTCCATTCGTTGTGCTGTAACACAGTATTTTAACATTAACAATAAATCCAAATCTGGTGTGTTATACTCTAAGCTCAGCATAAAACTGACTTTGTTTTATGCAAACGAGTAAACTTTTCACGCATTTCGAACCAGCGATCCCTACATCAGTCATTACATTTTTTTCTCCAGCGGTCAACCCAGCGTCCGAAGCACACTCTCCAGCTCCAACTTTTTCGTTTTCGATGCTTTTCTGTGGCTACATCCCATTCCTGACAAAGATTGAATCCTCATTAACTAACCTCTCTTTCATTTGAAAAACAGTATCGCCGGAATTTTAAGTCCAAGGCTGCCTTAACTGAAAATTCATACTATGATCCTGGAGCCGCTTTCGGACACGACATCGTTTCAAAATCTAACAACATCAATAATCGTAGGCAACATGTGATTATTAAGAAGCCTGCCCCCACATTTGACCTCACTTCTTGTCTCAGTGGTTTGATCGTTATCTGTCAACATATTTGTTAACTGCCTCTAATCCTTAACTCTTGCATTCTGAATTTACAACAGAAAGGACGGGACATTGCGGACAGGACTGTTTGATATGAATTCATTTATTGTGGTTTATTTTGATTTTAAAATTTTATAATTGGTGATTTTGCGCGTAAAAACTAGTTTTATTTAAATGTGTAGTGTTCGCGTAAATATAAGAAATTACTCTCTATTTTTGTTTGTGAAGTGTTATAGTAGGTTCAGCCAGAAGATTAGCTTGGGAGACAGACACTCGAAAATTTAAAAAATGTTTGCTCATGTCGCAATAATATGTAAATATTTTATACAAAAAGTAATTATAAAGAAAACTTTTAGAATATGACGCAGCTCACAAATTACCGAAATCGGATTTTTTTTTGTAGTTTATGGCATTTTGTTATCATTGATTCCAATAACAAGTTGGACTGAAGTTATTGAAAAAAAGCATATCGCTACGTAGTTTTTTACCGGCGGGTATGAGTATAGATAGTGAAGGTGTGCGAGCGAGATGTGAATAGAGGCACCATTTTCAATCCCATTCTTTTATCGCACGGGAAGTATATTATTAACAATAAAATTTTAATTTTACTTAAAACGAACTAACAACTTAACTCTGAGACACTATTTACACGTAGTAAATTCAAATTATAGTACAAACTAAACCACTTAATATATACTTAATAATGGTATCGACAACCCAATTACCATGCATTATGAATAAAAAAAGAAATCATAGAAAGAATAAGTTAAGATAGAGTGATTTGCACTTGAACTAAAATATAATGTCCTCCAGACATTGTTTCGGTCACGGCAAGAAACTTTCCATCCGCGTAGGATAGGATCACAGCACACAACATTACAGAAGAGGAGTCCATCCAAAGGTTTTACGTGCTTTCCGAGGAAAAGGGGTGAAGCGTCTAATGAGAATTTCTCCACGGAAAAAGCTAATAATTTATTTTTGGATCAATTCGGGATTCGAACCCAGGACCATTTGGTCAGCATTCGCATTTATGGATGAAGTAACGAGGCAGTACTGTTATATAAGGCTTTAGAATAGCTGTGATAAATGTTACTGACCTTGCTAATAATGTGTGGATCAATAGCCAACAGCAGAATAAAGGGGCTTTTGGGATCAGAGCAAAGTGCGTGAACGGCGTTAAGTAAGGCGAGGACTTTCTCCTGTTCACAACTGTCGAGAGCGTCCACCACTACCACCAGCCGCGTCTGTTGCCCGGTGAACGCATCCAAGCACGACACCTGCGGAAAGCAAATGAATAAAGGAATAATTATGATTCGCAGAGCTACTGGAATTGTATGACATACGTAAGCGAACGAACGAAGTAAAATAAATTAAATAGTCAACCATAATTCAATTAAAGTTATTAACCCGTTCGCTGTCCAATGAATGATATATGAACATATCGATTGTTTAACTATGGTACGTGAGGGTAATATGGTCATTTGGTTAATGTGGTCACTTTCTTATAACTCAAAAACAACAGCCTTGTTTGCATGGATGGCTCTGTGATACGGTAGCTCTTCATCTGTTAATCAAATAAAAAAGGGCCAAAGGGCGCTGCTTTATCCAAGCAATTTTGACAGTTTACATTAGAGTAAATATTTTAGTCGATTTTAGTACTGGGTAGTGAAGTAAATTTTTTTAAGTTCATTTTTCGAAGTGTTCCTAATTATTGCCAAAGGTTGTTTGCTATTTATTTCTTAATATATTAGATATACTTTTCTTATTAGGATTCTTATTAGGATTAGGAAAAACAAGTCGTATACTTAATATATTAGATATAGTATACGACTTGTTTTTGTTTTTGTCTCTGTCCTTTTAATTGTTTATATCGCCGACAGAATTTTTTTTAATTTTCATAAGAAGTAAATGGAAAAAACTGTAAGCCCGAGAAACGTCGTTGGTGGACACTTGTTCGTCAAAATCGTGAAAATTACATTGCGGATTTGTAATCAAAAGTGGCCTGCATTCGATTCTCAGCACTTTAGACGAAGACAAACAGTTCGCTGTATGTGTTGATACTTCTTAACTCATATTTGTTATTTTATGGCGATTTCACGTGTATTATCCCCGCGTGTTAGCAGCGTCTGAGAAAATGAGGGTATAAATAGCGGCGCAAGTTGTCAGCACCAAGTCCTAGTGAATTTGTAAAAACCCAATGTACGACGCAGATTAATCAATGGGCCAATCACGTGTAAGAATGTTCTCTTTACTGTACCACCGGTCTTGAAACTTCACCAAATATTTCGCAGGTGAAGGCTGTGTTCACTATTTATACTATACATATCATTTCAATATATTCACCCGAACACTTATATGTATATTACTATACCGGCAATTTAGAACAAGAATTGTGTCACCGCTGAGAAAGGCGCGGTCGCCGGCTGGGCGGGAAACTGGTATGATATGATAAATATGCCACGCTGTACTTTCATTTTTGACAGTTAATATTTTTAGACAGATAAGGCAAGTAATATTAAATTAAATTAACTTCAAATCACACTGAAAAGTAGGCTCATAAAATAATGACAGCGCTTTTTTAGTCATATTAAACAAAATTAGTGTTAGATTGTCGAAAACAATGTTCGCGGTTAACAAAATAAAGAACTTGTCTAATCCACCGTTTATAGTCGACGAAAGGGGTTATGGAGAATTGAGCGTATTTTAGTGCGTAATATATTAATTGGGTAAAGTCTAGCGGTAACAATAATGTAATGATGGCCTTCAGACCGAATTTCAGTCACGGTGGTCAGTTTCAATGGGGACTAGAAATAAACATAGGACAGGATTATAGTGGCTAAGTATACGAGCAAGCGCAGATGCATATGCATTCCTTCTGGCGTGCCTCAAGGCTCTTTATTAGGGCCTTTGCTTTTTGTTATATTCATTAACGACATTGCGTTATGTTTCAAACATGCCAGAGTCTTATTATACGCGGACGACACTAAGATCTTTATGGCAGCTCTGGTGACTGTGATCGCCTTCAATCCGATCTGAATAATTTTGTGAAATACTGTACTCAAAATAAGCTTGATTTGAATGTTTCCAAGTGTTTTGCTATGACCTTTTCTCGTAAATCTAACCCTAACCCTATAAATTATCAGTATAAAATCAATAATAAGTCACTTAACAAAGTTACATCTATGAAAGACCTGGGTCTCATTCAAGATTCTAAACTCTTATTTGATAAGCACATTGATTACGTAGTGAAAAAGGCCTCCAAGTCTCTTGGTTTCATTAGAAGGTCTACATATGAATTTAAATCTATTAAACCGATTAAAGTACTTTATTGTGCTTATGTGCGCAGTATCCTCGAGTATGCCTCTGTGGTCTGGAATCCACAATATAAAGTGTATACTTCCCGTATTGAGTCCATACAAAAAAGTTTCTTGAGATATCTACAATACAAGTGTAAGCAATTGGACCATGGTTATGAAGCGAGATGCAATAGATACCACTTCTTACCTTTAGAGAAAAGACGGCAACTCTTCGATATTACGTATCTATTAAAAATTGTCGGAGGCATCATTGATTGCCCTGCTTTGCTGGAAAATAAGCATCTGGGTTCCGCGCAGATTACCAACTAGACGTACTCAGCCACTAGCTATTCCTAGAGTCAATACTAACTACCGCCGCAATTCATTTATTATTCGTGCGAGTAACTTTTTTAACAACAAAACACAAAGCACAAATTTTGAAACCATTCCTCATTTTACTTTGTTTATTGTTATTGTTTACATGGCTTCTTTACATTTAAATAACCATATGCGAATATCTGTAAATGGCTTTGTCGAAATGTCCAATTTGTATTCATGTAACGTTTATATGCTGTTGGTGTTCCAAAAAAAAAAATTTTAAAAAACACTCTATTCCCTCACTCTCATAGTCTGATGGGGCGGTAATCCGACACGAGCGGAGAGAGATCAGGCACCGGACCAACGGCTTTACGTGCTATCTTAGGCGCGGGGATATAACACCGCCAATTTTCTGACTCCGGATTGCTGTTGACAATTTCTTGACAAAAAAAAGCAATAACTGATTTTTGGCTTGAGCTGGGTCACGATCAGCAAGTGCGTTTACAAGCACTAGAGCAACGAGGCAGTGAGCTCGTCTAGTAGTATACATACAAGTGTTTGAGGAGTAGTGTTGCGGCAGTACCATGTCGGTGAGCGCCTGCACCTCGGGACGCAGCGCCAGCGCGTGCGCGTCACGGCGCAGCGCGCGCGTGAGGCGGGCGCGCGGCGGTAGTGCGAGCGAGGCGAGCGCGCGCGCCGCGCTGTACGCGTTGGCCAGCAGCGCCGCGCCACCCACCGCGCATGCGGCGATCACCAGCCCCTGCTGCAGGTTACGCCGTCTGATCCACGACGGCCCACTCTCACTGAGCCGTCGCGACAATAACTTGCACATCACCACATCACTATAGCTACACCACTTCCTCAACCCCACAATTTATTTGCCGATAATAACAGCTAATAGTCTTCCGCTCACCAGGTGTCGTCAGTTTAGACTGAGTTAAACTAAATGTTACTCAATATCATTGCAATTGAGAAGTTGCGTTTAAAACTTAAGTTTATCGGTTTCTAAAGTATGTAAATACACACTCGAAATAAATTGAATTTTATGTACATATCACATATTTTTTTAATTATTCTACTTTTAAGAATATTTGTAATTTGGCTTGTTTATTACTAATATAATTAATATAAAACATGACTAATATTTCGAAAAAATTAAAATAAAAAAATATTAATCTTCAAACTTTCCTAATAAATTGCCTTCCCCACTATGTAATATGTCAAATATTTTATCTCATTCTTAAGTGCGACGCCCTGGTGGCAGAAAAAGTCACAGATCCCCATTATCAACGCTCCTAGTCATAATTTTCGTAAAATTAAAAAAATTTTCATATATTTATTAAATAAATCATTCTAGGATGCTCAAATAACCGAATGGACACAATATTTCAAAATAATATAAAACTAAACGAAACTAATTATTTTAATAGAATATAATAGAAAAAATTATAAGAAATTGGGTATTTGACACTTTAGTCAATTGAAATATTTTTGACAGCTGTCCAAACAAATTCTTATAAAAATACCTCCGCCCATAAAGCAAAACAGGCCGCCGACGTACCGCAGGTAAGTAGCCATACGCAGGCGTTCCCAAGTCCTCGCGGTCCTATGCATACAATTAAACTAGTTGCAACAACACTGCTCAATGCTCACTAGACTAAATTTAGTTGCGCAACTGAATCGACGTCCTACAAAAATGCCGAATTGTTCAGTTTTTGGCTGTAAAAAGAGATGAATACCTCCTCTTTTTTAAAGTCAGTAAAAAGATGTCGTTACATTTTATATGTAAGTAATTGTTAATAACATTAGTATCCACTATTTATTTCTTCTTAATCTTAAAAATTACAGTAATAACGGTCCATAGCACCGGTCGTATTGTTTCGGTTTTGATTACCAACACAGGCCGCTCACCCTCATACAATATGTGGTTCAGTAAAGTAAGTAAGTCGCTGTCACCGAGTGATAGTTGATATACCGGTATATAAATAGTTATCGATAAAATGGCAAACGCATGTACGTATGTACATGTGTCTCCATATAGAGCCATATTTCTCGTACATAATATAATTATTTTTGAGATTATGTTTTCTGATTTATTTAATATATATTGTGAACTATGCTATGATAGTTTAATATTAAAATTACTAAGTGTGAACTCCGACTATATTTTTTAATATGTGTTTACTAGCTGGTACCGGCGCGTTGCTGCTGAAGAAGAAATAATTGTGTAGTTATATTGTTTCATTAAGAATGTAGATTCATTAAAATTGAATGATATGTAACTTTCAAATAAATTTGTCGGTGCAATATGTGCACCTACTGTAAATTAATTGCACTATGCTTTCGCGAAAGTGCAAGCAATAAGTTCACAAAGTTTTAGCGCAATCTGATAAACGATAGCAACGCATAACATACGAACAAACAAACATTAATTTTTATATACTAGATTGCAGGTTTCTTAATGATCAGAGTTAAACGAATATATGGAAGTACTTTTGTAATAACAGGCTTAACTGGCTTCCCGCAAGTAACAGTGTCATTTGTTGAAACCTCCGACTTTCAAGTGTTGGCGAACAATTGAAGGCGATTGGTCGATGACACCAATCCATATTTAATACCACACTGAAAGCAAACTATGGTACAGTCAACCTGATGGTAAGTAAACTGTGGTCTAAGGACATTTACGATCTTAAAGCCAACAAACTGCTAAAGATGCAAATGCGAATGCATCGCCAACCCAGAGGACTAATATTTATTGCCGTGTGCTACTCGTAAAATGTTGTATATGTAGTATAGTGCAGTGTGTGGTCGGTTAGTCATAGTTGTGAAATCAAACTCAGATTTCTACACTTCAAAAAATGTAAATCTAATTTTCCAGAGCCATCAATAGTCATTTACTCTCCCAGATGACAGATATCATCTTACGATGCCATTAGTGCCACTCTCACTATTCCTAATTCGTTGACATCTGCATATAAAACATCAACTCTATCAACTATCTGTAGATAATATACTTGATTAAAATAAATATATATTAGCCGCGCAGATAGAGAATAGATCTGAAAATAGCGTCCGCTCGCATGCGTTCTCGCTCACTCTCTATCGCTGTCTATACTCACACAGTGAAATACGCGCTACAAAAAAATAGTCAGTCAAGATTCGCTTTCCACGCTACTTGACGCACTCCGAGTTATCGTTAAATTCGTCCCGTTATTTTGTTGTTTTCGTTGATATTCATTGTTTTTTTTTTTTTGTTGAGTTTGATTGTTATTTTTTTGCGTTACGTTTGATTGTTATTTATTTTCGTTAAGATTTGGTTGACATTTTGTGATTGATTGAATAATGTCTTCACGAAAACGTGGAAAGATTCTTCACAGTGATGCACGTAACATTGTTTACAACGTTATAAAATGAATGATTTGACGAAGAGAAGAACTTGGAGCGTTACCATCCGTTAAAGTATAGCGCCGCACGCGCAGCGATGGCGACTAATTTATCGATGGCTACTATATCGAAAATAAAGAAAGAAGGTAATGACGTGGTATCTACACATTATTTTACGCGGTTGCTTTATGGGCGTGACCAAGATAGATAGATAAATCAATTTATTTGAAGATGATGGCCTTACCTCCATCGAGTATGATTTTTTATATAGATTTTCTGGCCTGGAAACGATTGTGGTTTTTATATAAATAGCTTTTGGCCTGGAAACGAGTCCTTTTGGTAGCAAGTTCAGTGTCGCTCTATAACGATAACTGACAGTAATAGTAATATTTTACTCTTATTTCAGGTAAACTTGCAAAACAAACCAGCACCAAGCTCCGTACGCCGAGTAAGGGCAGAAAAGGCAAAAATAATACGCGGGTCCCCATGGACAACTTCGATATATGTGCCATTAGAAATATTGTGGCCTCAATATACGACGTTCGAAAGGAGGTACCTACGCTGAACAAGATTCTGGCGTCAGCAAAAGCTGATTTAAACTAAAAAGGCTTCAAAACGACATTAAGAAAGATTTTAAAAGAAAAGCTCGGATTTAAATTTAAAAAATGCCGTCAGAACCGAATGGTGCTCATAGAGCGCGATAATATAAAAGCGTTGCGAGTTAAATATTTACGCCGCCTCCGACAAAATGATGCCATGGGTGCGGAAAAAAAAGTACCCATTATACTGTCAGCAAGTGCTGGCAGTCATCCACAGAAAAAAGGCGTTCGCAAAAATGATAGTCCTGGACAAAGGTGGGTGATGGTTCATGCCGGCTCAGAGGATGGGTTTGTGGTGGGTGCAGGATTATTATTTAAAGCTAAATCAAAAAAAAGCGACTACCATGACGAGATGGATGGTAATAACTTTACGAAATATTTAAACTACTAAAACTAATATCAAATCTGCCTGAAAACACCATTCTCGTCATGGATAATGCATCCTACCACAGTATGCAGTTGGATAAAGCGCCAACGACTGCAACCCGCAAAGCGGGCATAAAGATATGGATGCAGGAGCACGGTGTCTCATTTGAAGAGGACTGGACCAAAGCAGAGCTGCTCATGCAGCAAAAAAAATTTCGCCCAGAGAAAAAGTATTTGGTGGACGAACTTCTGCGTGAACATGGCCATGAAGTCCTCAGACTACCTCCTTACAACTGCGACCTGAACCCGATAGAACATGTTTAGAATTTCTCCCCTGTTGGTCGTTTCAAAGCCATAAAAATAAATTAAATTTACTTCAAATTCTCTGTCTGATTCGTACATTTTTAAACTAAATTCTTTTTTTGTGTCTTATAGAGAACTAATAATCATTTAACTAGGCAGGTACCGCCTGTTTTGTTCAAAAACCAGCGTGAAATGATCGCACAAAACACGCGTACGTGTCGGCGGCGTCGGTCTAGTGACAACACGTCGGCGACGTCTCAGACATGTGCGTCGGTCTAATGTAGTTCCGCCTTTACTTCACTGGCCTAAGGGATAAGGACGTGACTTTATGTATGTATGTGAGGAGGTATTTTTGTAATATGATTCTGATATGTAACGATTAATAAAGACAAATTTTAAAATCCAGTGTCATATGTACCCTTGCTTCTTATTTATTTTATTAATATTTTTGACATCATTTCTACTATTATTAATTAATAATATTAAAAAAGAATAATTTATAAAAAAAAGTCAATATAAAATAAAAATCGATGTTCGAGAACTTATTTTGCCAACCGTACCATGTGTACCCGCCGCCGTTTTCAGATCTATTCTCTATCTGCGCGGCCTATACATATTAATCAAATAGTAATTTCTACTATTTTATTATTGAGATTGAGTTAGCTGAATAGAAAGATGATAAAAGCATAATAAAGCATATTTGTTTTTCAAGCTTAGTCAATGGAAACATCTGAAAATTATATTTCGATACTAAACATTGCACTTACACCAAGAAAAAGAAAAATGCAGGAACAGCTATATTATCAGAAAAAAATAAAAGGCTCCAAGCTGGAAAATTAAAAAAAAGTATCTAAGAAAAATATGACAGTATCAACAGTTGTTACAGCCACGACTGTATGCAACTTGTCAATTTAGTTCTGTCACTTCATTACACTGTAAATAACAGTGTGACACAGAATGTGTGTGTGTGAAATTGTAAATGTATTGTTTTATTTGTTATGTGTTAGTTTAGATAATGATTTTAATCAATATGTGTTAGTTTCCTAGTGACAGACTATTATTTTTGTGTGGAAGTCAGAGAAAGTGTGCGTGTGTGTACCCCGCAAAAAATGAGAGACAGTTTGGTAACGGAAAATAACGCTATGGCTACTCCCCTCCTGTGTTGCTCTATGTCTTCGAGTAATTACTAACAAAGGAAGAATCCTAAAATAAAAATAAGTTTTTGCGATTCAAATCCGTAATGCTTACGGCTTTTTACGTGATATACGAAAATAAGATATCTATACTATTCTCACCTTTTTTCTTTCACAAGATTGATGTCTTTTTTCAATTCCATAGACACCGCAATCGATGTGCCATTAGCAAAACAAAAAAAGTTGTCGATAAATTCATTAAGTCTATGACTTAGTAATATTAAGGGGTTTAATTAATCAGATTCGTATACTTGGTACTCGTTACAATAATCAATGAACGTAAATTAAAGCTAAGGACATCTAACAACAAACACATAGTTAAAATTTACTGTTGAAAAAGTCAATAGAAATCTACTTAAATTCAGCCGGTCTATGTCTGCCTAATTGTCTCTAGACTTATTATGGGTTTCACATGGAATATTAACCATAAACAATAAATCGATTACAAACGTATTACCCATTTTTCCCATTGATCTCTCAAGAAATTATCCATAATTCATTCATTTATTACAAGGGTATCATATCTGATAATCACAGGTGTCTCCCATAAATTGCCTCAAAGAAGGGAACTTAGCCATAGTTTGACAGATGCGTTGCAACCGCAAGTTGTCTATTATTTTGATTTTTAACACGAAGATACTGCTGTCTTTTTTGTTTTATTTCCCTCCGTCGGCTTTTAAGATACGAGATGATACGAGGTCCCTAAACTTAGTGCATTACTACATACTTAACATAAGCATAGTGTGGTAAAATATCTTACGAAAACACACACACACACACACACACACACACACACACACACACACACACACACACACACACACACACACACATATATATATATATATATATATATATATAAATAAGTATATCAATGTCGATTATTGTTGTCTTGTGAAATAACGTAACACTTAATCACACTTAATACTACTATGTAATAATGAAATTTTTCAAGTAAATCAGAACATACAAGTATACTTACTCTCATATTAGGCACAGTATAAAGAGAGCAAAGAGACCACTTGGCATTCAAAACTACACACATGAATTACACGCAACTCCTTTTAATAGGTTACGTCTCGTTTAGCCTTATTTAAGAATTAAATTCCCTCCATGTAGGTATATGTATATATGTTATTACTCTAAGAAAAATATAATGTAATTACGTCAATTTCTAACGTCAAAATATCTATTATACATATTATACAAATATATATATATATATATATATATATATATATATATATATATATATATATATATATATATATTTAATGCTAAAACTCTAATGTAACTTAAAATGCAAAATCGACCAAGTTTTGAGACACTAACCGCAGCAAATTTAAATAGTAGTTTATCAATGATGGTGTCAACTACCCAATTGTTCGTTAATAACGCATACGCAAATATAACATTCTGCACGCAAGTGGAGAATGTTATATTTGCGAATTCTAGCCCTTCGCGAGTCTTTACGCGACAGTTGCGATGAATGAAATCCGAAACACGAATCGGAGATTTTTATAGGGTTGAGTTACTGCTGTAGCTATATGTGTACGGCAACAATGTGCTGCAGTCTTAAATGATGCTTGGGCATCGATAAAAACTTATTTATGTTTGTAACGGCCATCCAATTTGCGACATCGAACCGTGTCGCTTTATTAACAATATCAAAGGCGAAGAAAATGAGATACGAGATTTACGTTAGCAACAAGTAGCGTAGTAGTTGCGTGCCACTAATTTCAATGTTGGCACCTAATTTATAATATTATATGCATCGACTATCGTTAATATTTACTTTTATTTACAGTGATAAAGCTTGAATCATCATCATTACAAGTCCGCAAATTCAATAAAATACGGCACTGAATCACTTGCTAACGGCAAATTTTTAACTATCTGCGTGCCTCACTCGCGCGCACAGCACACATTAAAAAATATTCTTAACATCAGAGGTAAATTTTTCAATACTACAAAGGCTGCACTAAAAGTATCGGGAATGAATATTTCCACTGTTCCTGTCATATTAAAATCTTTTTAATTGAAAACTCCTTGGTTTTAAAAATCGAATACCATTTATTTATTTAAAAAAAGATTCTCGGTCTTGTCACAAGGTTTTGTCAAACTTGTTTAGTCGTTGAGAAAATGGAATTGACTCGAGAAAATTCAACCCAGAAAACGTTGATGCTGTGCGTAAGCTGATTGAGGAAGATCGACATGTGACATACCGCGAAATTCAGGCAACTTTAGACATTGGCATGAGTCAAATACAAACAATCTTGCATGAACAATTAGGTGTAAAAAGTTGTTTTCCCGTTGGATACCGCATTCGCTCTGTGAAGAGCAAAAAGCGGTTCGCGTTACTTGGTGCGTCAGAACTCTCGAAAGATTCCACGCAGGATCCTCAAATGCTGTATGCAACATCGTATCAGGTGACGAATCCAACGTAATCGAAACAAAAAACCAGTCACGGGTTTGGGTGTTCGAAAATGAGTTAAAGCCAACAAAAATTGTTCGTTCACGGGTTGTTGCAAAAAAATGATGGCCACGCTTGTCTCCAAAACCGGCCATGTTACGACTATTCCTCTTGAGGGACAAAGAACGGTTAATGCAGAATGGTATGCTAGCATTTGTTTTGCCACAGGTCGTTTCTGAACTCCGTAAAGATAACTGCAACCGCCGCATCATCCTCCATCACGACAATGCAAGTTCTCACACCGCACACAAAACAAAAGAGTTTTTAGAGCAAGAAAACATAGAATTATTAGACCATCCGCCGTACAGCCCCGACCTAAGCCCTAATGATTTCTATACTTTCCCTAAAATAAAGAATAAATTGTGTGGACAGAGATTTTCATCACCTGAAGAAGCTGTGGACGCCTACAAAACGGCCATTTTGGAGACCCCAACTTCCGAATGGAATGGTTGCTTCAATGATTGGTTCCATCGTATGGAATAATGTGTCAAATTTCGCGGAGAATACTTCGAAAAGCAATAAATACATTTTTAAATAGTAATGTTGTGTCACTTCCTTGATTCCCGAAATTTTCAGTGCCGCCCTCGTACAAGGAAAAACTCGATAGCAAACGCCTAGTAATCAGTGTTAGTTTAATCTACTCTTTTTACTTGTTTAGTTATTACGGGTAATTCCGTTTATCTACCCTAAAAAATCCACCCTAGGTTGGTGTGTTTAAGGTGGATAGACGGAATAACCCCTTACAACTTAAAATATATGTATTTAAAAAAATGAAATTAACAAAAAAACAAGCCATTTTGTGACTATTGCTTACTGCTGATCGGCGTCCGTTTCAGTTAAGTACATGATAAGCACGCACAGGCCGACGAGCAGACATGTGAAGATTATTTCAAATGTTACGATGTGAGGAATGCAACACGCTCGCCTCCACCTAGAAAATAAATAAAAGCTAATATGAATTATAACTTATAATGAAATTACAAAAATGATTTACGTCGTAAAAAAGTTATAGGAACAGTTTTAGATTCCAGCATTCTTGTTATTACCTCCTTACTAGCCGGTAAACAGACCACAGCTGGACAATTTCTCTACTACGAAAGGGACGATTTGCCATAAGCATCACATCCCCACTATTAGGCAAAATGGAGGAGGTCTATGGTAAAAGGGTATTTCACGTTTTTGGTAAAATTCAGTTTTCACAATGTTTATTATGGTAAGAGCGAATTCCCTTAGAACATTTTATTTTTCCTTTTTGTGTATTAGCTATAATTATTAGTTATTTTAAATACAATAAAAGATTTCTAATTAAAATAAAGATAAATAAAAGATAAAATCAAAATATTTTATTCACTTTAGTCATAATTAAAATTACCGAGACCGACTACAGAAAAGAATCGGTAAGAAACCGTGTGGTTTCAAGGCTTATTATTTTTCCATTATTTTTAATTTTTAGTTTTACCTTTGAATTGGGTTTTACTACATTGATAAAACTTTTACCATGTTGGTAAAATCTGTGGACCATCGGTATCCAGTATTGTCTTTAGTTCTATTATTTTATTCTATCAAGAAATAAATTTTAATGTCCGACTGAGTTAGCTCCACCCTGTTATGTACTTCTGCCGCAATTGCGTGCATTGCCGTGTTTCGATCTAGAGAGTATAGTCAGTATTATTACCAGCTGAGGCACTCCATCTTAAGTCCTCAGATGTAGTGACGTTTCTCTAGTATGTTATTTAAAGCTGTTTGCAGCTGTATGAGCTGCAGCATACAGTAACACTCACGTCTGTCACCCAGAGGAGTAGGCAGAGACTACGACTTCCATTTAGCACGATCCTGACACACCTCTCTCGCCTCCTTCACATCCATATACCTACGCATACATGCTCGTCAGTTAAGGGTACTCCTAATTTGGCCTGTTTTCAATAAATCGCCAATTTGGTCGATAAATTTTCGCCTAGGACGTCCTTTTCCGACTAATTAAATAATTTTTTTTTGTTACTCTTTCCTCATTCATTCTTTCCACATGACCAAACCACCGAAGCATTCCTTTCTTAATCCTGATCACAACATCATCTTGCAAACCACACTCTCATCAGTCATTCAGATTTAGCCCTAACATACTCCTCCTGTCCTGAAAGTTGTCATTATGCTGTTAATAAAAGAGGAAGTAATGAACTGTGGCGCAAGTGTTGCGAACTCACCTCCAGCCGGATGTGGAGGAGACGGGCTTGGGCGTGAAGGCGCGCGCGAGGCGCGTGCACACGCGGCCGTACTGACTCTCCAGCGCCTCGGCCAGGCTGCCGATCATCTGCACCACCATCGCCTCGCCCTCCTGCCCCGCGCCGCTCTTCATGCCCTCCGTGAAGTGGAACCTAACAACACATTCTTTGTCTATTCATTCATTCATTAAAGCTTATCAAACACCTTGCCTCTTACTACACCCTCGGTACGTTATGGGGTAGCGGATATTCTTACACAGCCACTACACTTTAAATAGCACATGTCAAAATGTTTTATACCAGCAATCAAAACCAACATTTTCTCAAGAAATTGTGTACAATAATATTTACAAATGACGTCATACTTTCTTGTATTTAATATCTAAACTGAAGCAGAGAACCTACCAACTTTCGAATGCTACTTGCAAGTAACAACTGTAAAATATATATGTAATTGTATACGTGGTAGAGCCATGCTGCAGTTATATAAGTAATATAGTTGAAGCACGAATTGGTTGGCTCGCCCGGGGAAGGACCACGCTCTCACGGAATACCAGCGTTAAATAGTAGCTTAATGCTGCTGTGTTTCGTATGGTGAGTGTAAAGAATCCGGAGACCCTTTTACTGGAAACGAGGAATTCCATCTTAATCCTCACGGGTGACAACGCATCTGCATTTTGATTCGTAATCGAGGATATATGTAGATGTCTATGGGTCACAGCAACCACTTACCTTCAGGTGGACTGTGTGCTCGTTTGTCACCCTATCCTATAAAAAAAAAGAATTTTGACATTTTCTTTTCTCAAAAAAAGGAAACAACTTTGAAGCGACAGTAGCCTAATGGCAAGGCGCGGACCGTGAACTCAAAAAGATCGTCGTGGGTTCGAATCCGCCATTCGACTACTGTCGTGAACACAAGCAATTTAAGCTTATCACGAGTGGTTAATATGGAATATTAGTAGTGTTTATAGCATTGTTAATATTCTTTAATAAAAAAACTTTACCCCCTACATTATACATACTTGATTCATTACTGCAAATCCTTTAAACACCAAATTCCACTGCTTAGGAGAGGTTTCACCCATAGATTGCCTCATATTAGGTACTTCCTATCGGTGGAAGGAAAAGGGGAGATCTGCCGCCGGTCAAGGTGTCACTCATACTTTTTGTAGTTAATATCTAAAGGAGCGGCCAACGCTCCGTGTGATAGTTCGGAACTATTCTATATATACTGTTTTTACTTCGGAACTTTCATAGCGCGATTTAGGCTTCGATGTGTTTCTCTTATGGAGCGACGACAGCGCCGCCATAAATCTGTGGGCCGTAGTGAAGATATTTGCCAAAGTTACCTCTCTTCGCGGGCAAATTACAACTGCAGCTTTTTATTATTTTAAGTTGTCATCAGGAAGATGCTTCAAGTCATCTTCTGTTTCATTGCCTTAAGCAGTCTCTTACGACACTCACGGAATGATACGTGGTAACAAAATATCTTAAGTCACCACTACACGACACATATATTACATATTACCTAAGTGTATCTATTTCAATCGGTTATCGACACCCATACCTATCTACCTATCTACATCTATCTACACATATCTACTTATCTACACATCCATGTCATTGCGCATTTTTGCTGTCCTATTTTAATGACTTCTGTTCAGGCATAGCATAGGCACGACATCGGTTGTTGTGGTAGATTTCTCGCCTAGTTATATACTACTTATTTATATTAATTGTTATTTGATGTATTACACTATTCTCCATAAATGTTTACCTTATAGGAGTAGCTGGAAGCGCGCGTGGATCGTTCGGTCCGGGCGGGTGACAGAAGACTACTTGTAAAACCAACAACAGCGAGTTAAACCGGCGGCCCAGATTTGACATCATACCGCCAGCCCACCACCACTCGTACCTATTGCATAATTCAATTTTGTTATTGATTAAAACTACTTTTACGGATTTTATCGCGTTTATTTTACTTTATTATTTTTAATTCCCAACGTTTCGGGCGCTTTCCAGCACCCATGGTCACAGGGGACTGAGATGACTGACGTCCCGATGTCATTGTTAAACCCGGAGTACCTTAAGGTGCTCCGGAGTAAATACCGGTCCTGAATTTATGGAAGACAGCTTTAATGAACTGGATCCCTAAAAAAGGCCTCTGATCCGTCCAACTACAGGCTTATAACCTTTGCCTCCTTGCCCTTCAAAATAACTGTTTTTTTTTTTATAGAATTGGGTGACAAATGAGCACAAAGTACACCTGATGGAAAGTGGATGCTGTGGGCTGTGGCCCATAGACATCCACATTTTGGTATAGGCACGCAGCAGCCTTTGTTGTTGTACGTATGGGCTGGTTTAAACCGGGGTGGTACCACGACCTCACAGAAGACCGGCGTGAAGTATAAGCTTTGCTTCTGCATTTCTTCTGGTGAATGCAGGTGGCTGGAGGCCCAAACCCCCCCCCCCCTTAACATGGTAGCAGAGTTAAATATAATCCCCGATGGGGGGAATCCCTCGCTGAGCATCCACGCCCAAACTCCCCTACTCTTCCTGAGCGTGGGTGCTCAGGCTGTCTTGAGCGAAATTTCGCTCAAGACTAAACCTGCTCGGTGCAAACACCTTCCTGGTGTTGCAGTTGTTCATGTGCGATGGTCGAAAATTTTAATTAATGTGGGTGAAACCGCGGGGTTGAACGCTAGTAAAATATAAAAAAAAATCTAGTAAACATATTCGTAGGCTGCTCAGGCACATATAGAACAGGCCGTTGGGAGGGGGGGGTTTTACATATTCATAGTTAGCCTGGGGCAGTTGAAATTCTTAATTGAGGCAGTGGTTAGACGATCATTCTCTGGTCATTGTGACAGACTGATGGACTGTAATGATGAAATACTGAGCGTGTAATTCCTCTCTTAGAAGGTTTGCGTGTGCGGGCGCGGCGACCTGTTGCCGAGGTGCCAGAGCAGGTAGGCGGCCAAGTAAGCGGCGGCGAAGAGCACGAACGCGAGTCCAGCGGCGAGGTGCGGCGGCGCTCCGGCAAGGGCGGCCACTCCGCCCAGCGCCAGCGCGCCGTGCCACGCGCCCCACGCCACCGCCCATGACCATGCCCACCCCGACTCGCTCCATTGCCGCGCAAAGTTCTTCATCTCCTCTGCAATACACAGGACCCATTACTCCGCCGCTTCGCATTAATACGTTACTCGTCCTAGTCGAAATTTAGCGCTCGCCGGAAGTTTTACACTACTCCAACAATAAAGGCGCGTCCATTGGCCCACGCCGGATACCCCGCACGCACGGCACGCAACAGATTGAACGGATTTGCCGATGATATGCGTCCACTGTATCCGGATTTTTAATTTAGTTTAGAGTGTTTTCTTGTCATAAATTGACGTATTTGGTCATTGAAGTTGATGAAAATATTATTACTATTAGCTGCTTATTGAAATATGAAGAAGAACGTAAAAAACTAAACGTAGAATGTGGGTTCATGAATGATATTATATAACATTATTATTTCAATAATTTTATGATTGTTTTTTTTTATAGGATAGGGTGACAATCGAGCCACAGTCCACCTGATGGTAAGTGGATGCTGGGGCTCATAGACATCTACATTTATCTTCAATAAATCAAAACGCAGATGCGTTGTCACCCCTGATGAAAAAGTTTCCAGTAAAAAAGGGTCTCTGGGTCTTTACATTCACCATACGAAACACAGCAGTATTAAGCTGCTATTTTAGCTGGTATTCTGTGAGAGCGTGGGCCTGCTCCGGTCGAGCCGACCCATTCATGCTTTAACCATAAATAGCTACAGCGTGACTCTACCACGTATAAAATAAATAGAAATGCGGTCATTAAGGAGTATGTTAGGGCTGTATCTGAGTGACAGGGTGAGAAATTGTGTAATAAGAGAAGAGTGTGGTATGCAATATGATGTTGTGATGTATGAGTAAGAAAGGAATGCTTCAGTGGTTTGGTCATGTAGCAAAAATGAATGAGGAAAGAGTGACAAAGCAAATTTATGTTGCAGAAGAGAACGTCAGAGTCGGTAAGGGACGCCCTGGGCAAGAGTTTGTCGACCAAATTGGCGATCTATTGAAAAGGGGCCAAATTAAGAGTACTCTTAACCGGCGAGCAAGAATGCGTAGGTATATGTGTGTGGAAGAGGCGAGAGAGGTGTGTCAGGATCGTGCCAAATGGAAGGCTGTAGTCTCTGCCTATCCCTCTGGGTGAAAGGCGTGAGTGCTTATGGTATATATAAAATAAATATATAAATTTATTTATTTGTATTATATTTTTATTTATCTTAGTTTTAAAAATCGTTAGCCATGTAGATTAAGAAAAGTAATTGCGCAGAATTCGTTCGAAGAATCGATCTTTCGACCTAATTGTCGTCAAACATTCCAAGAACAAACAAATTTTCTTAAGTAGTTAACTGAGATACTAGCAAATTTAAGCATAAATGAAAAAAAAATTGAAATTGGTCAGTCAAAAATCTGGCTCAAATAACCAAATTCTGTGCGGATTCAAAGTCAGATCAAGCGAAGACATTAGTTAGTTTTGTTGGTAATACACAGTTCACCGCGATAATCAGACCATACGCAGAGTTTTTGTTATAATTGTGGGCAAAAAACGCATAATTTTCTTATGCTAAATAGCTATTAGGTAAAACTAAAAGTTACAGTCGATATGTCCCACTTCTGGGCACAGAGCCGTGGAAGCTCAGATGGTTAACGCTCGCCGTAAATAGAACGCGAGTAACCCGATCACCGCTGGCACCAATGAAATTGTTAATTGCAATTTTAAGTTCTGATTTACCACGTTCTCGGCGGTGAAGGAAAACATCATGAGGAAACCTGCATGTCTGAGGAATAAGGAAAAAAATATATTTCGAAGACGTGTGAAGTTCGCCAACACGCATTGGGCAGCGCGGCGGACACCCTCTTGCCCTAAAACCCTTTCAGAAATGAGGGAGGTCTGTGCCCAGCAGTAGGACGTATATAGGCTGTAACTTTACTTTACTGGGTACAGAGGCCTGTGTCTGTGTATCTCGTTTACGACAGGATTTATTATGGTGCTTATGGTGAATCATTTAGTCCGCCGCGCTAATTCAGTGCGTAAGGTGGGCTTCTTAATCATCAAATTAGCAAGTGTATTGAAGATCGCAGTACCAGATTTCTTTAAATTTTCAAGCCAATGTTCGTCACCGGTATGAGTAAGGTATGAATTTTATATACTGGCAGAAATGTTAATTTATACAATAAAATAGTAATTTACGAAATTCAATACATACCCCTTAATTTGTTAAGTAAAAACGACTTGCCAGACCCCCAGCGAGCAAACAAACCCACTGTAATCGGCACTGAAAGACTAGGCTCTGATAGCATATCAGCCAAAGCCGCACTGTACAGCTCGTAGCCGAGCATGTTCTCGTTATCTTCATTCGTGTTCAATTTACGTGCGCCGAATATCTGGCCCAAGATGGTCTTGTTGTAGCTCATGTCGATGTTGTACGGCGTTTCGTTCATTTTGTTAGGTTTGTATAGCAGTTGGCTGTTCTTCGGGTTCCTTAAAAGGATTTCTACGATTTGCTGGAAAAAATAAAATATTATTGTCATTAAAAACTCTTAATAAAAATTAAAGTTACCTAGTATTAGTATAGTTAATAGCTTTTTTAGTGTAAATAATAATGTCCTCCAGACCGAATTTCGGCCACGGCCAGCAGCAGCAGCTGCACCATCTGTGTTGTGTGTGTGTGTGTGTGTGTGTGTGTGTGTGTGTGTGTGTGTGTGTGTGTCCGTGCGTCTTGTGTGTGTGTGTGTGTGTGTGTGTGTGTGTGTGTGTGTGTGGTGCTGCGTACCTTGGAGCGCGCGCGCATGGCGATGTGCAGCGCGGTGTCGCCGCGGCTGTCAGCGACGGGAACGCGCGCCTTGCGCTCCATCAGCAGCTGCACCATCTGTGTGTGTGTGTACGTGTGGTGCTGCGTACCTTGGAGCGCGCGCGCATGGCGATGTGCAGCGCGGTGTCGCCGCGGCTGTCAGCGACGGGAACGCGCGCCTTGCGCTCCAGCAACAGCTGCACCATCTGTGTTTGTGTGTGTGTGTGTGTGGTGCTGCGTACCTTGGAGCGCGCGCGCATGGCGATGTGCAGCGCGGTGTCGCCGCGGCTGTCAGTGACGGGAACGCGCGCCTTGCGCTCCAGCAACAGCTGCACCATCTGTGTTGTGTGTGTGTGTGTGTGTGTGTGTGGTGCTGCGTACCTTGGAACGCGCGCGCATGGCGATGTGCAGCGCGGTGTCACCGCGGCTGTCGGCGACGGTGACGCGCGCCTTGCGCTCCAGCAGCGGCTGCATCATCTGTGTTGTGTGTGTGTGTGTGTGTGTGGTGCTGCGTACCTTGGAGCGGGCGCGCATGGCGATGTGCAGCGCGGTGTCGCCGCAGCTGTCGGCGACGGTGACGCGCGCCTTGCGCTCCAGCAGCAGCTGCACCATCTGTGTGTGTGTGTGTGTGTGTGTGTATGTGTGTGTGGTGCTGCGTACCTTGGAGCGGGCGCGCATGGCGATGTGCAGCGCGGTGTCGCCGCAGCTGTCGGCGACGGTGACACGCGCCTTGCGCTCCAGCAGCAGCTGCATCATCTGTGTTGTGTGTGTGTGTGTGTATGTGTGTGTGGTACTGCGTACCTTGGAGCGCGCGCGCATGGCGATGTGCAGCGCGGTGTCGCCGCGGCTGTCGGCGACGGTGACGCGCGCCTTACGCTCCAGCAGCAGCTGCACCATCTGTGTTGGTGTGTGCGTGTGGTGCTGCGTACCTTGGAGCGCGCGCGCATGGCGATGTGCAGCGCGGTGTCGCCGCGGCTGTCGGCGACGGTGACACGCGCCTTGCGCTCCAGCAACAGCTGCACCATCTGTGTTGTGTGTGCGTGTGGTGCTGCGTACCTTGGAGCGCGCGCGCATGGCGATGTGCAGCGCGGTGTCGCCGCGGCTGTCGGCGACGGTAACGCGCGCCTTGCGCTCCAGCAGCAACTGCACCATCTCCGCGTTGCGCGACCGCACCGCGCGCAGCAGCGCCGTGTCGCCGCTCTGCAAGCATGCACACGCACACAATCATACAGCAACAAACTTTTACGCACCTACATCAAATCGTGTATAGATTATCTATCAAATCTTCCGACGATATCATAATGTAGTTTAGTATCTATGACTCAGTATACTGAGTCATAGATACTAAACTACACTGAGTGACTACCTAAACCGCTTGAAACAGAAACCTAAAATTGCGACTGCCGGTAGCTATCTTTTGTGACGTAGAAATTCGCTATGAAATTATTTTGGAAAATTCGATCCCTGAAAGTGTGAAATAAGGGTGTTGCAGTTTATTATTTTATTACAAAAATATTTTACAGGGCGAATGACATGATACTGATCCAAAATTGACACTTTAATTGTCTAACACCAATGACCAAAATTGACACTTTAATTGTCTAACACCAATTAAAACTTAAAACACGCTAATAATTAATCACACTGATCACTTTAATTCACTTTATTTCGCTCCGAAGCTTCGCCTGTATCGCCAATTCAATACTGCCGCGGTCACGGCCCTGAACGGCTTTAAATAGGCCTTTTCCACCGAAACATCTAGAATATTCTCCAGCAAATACCGGCCCCCGACCGACCAGGTGCAGAAATTTCGAGTGTGGAGCCTTCTAGAAAGCTTAAGCGCTGGCTTAGAATAGTAAACAATAAAATAAGTTGTATAATAGAATCTAATCAAGTAATAGGATATTTGCCTTCAGATTTAGAGGACTTAGCTTATGGCTAACTTATGTCGATTTGAGCAGAGAATATCGAGCAGAAAGCAGGTCACTTCGCTTTTGTAGTGCGAGTTAATGATCTTGAATATCAATAAAATAAATACTTTATTTCTCCAAGTTTTCTTTAAAATCGTGAGGAAACTCAACGTATGAGCATGAAAGATCGCACTTTCTTTCGCACATCTTGAATCATTATTTAAAATTGTTATTCATCATGTATTAACTACTGTACAATAAATTTATTATTATTCGTTTATTTAAATAGAGGCGCGGTAGATAAGGAATCATCATATATAACTTATAAAACAAGCCAGCAAAATTCTGTACTCGCCGAAATCAATTTGTTTAATTATTAATTTCTATTCAAAGTGTTAGTGTCAGATGCATTACTTTTTCTTTTATAGTGTAAAGCTGAATAACAAGTGCACAGGTCATCTGATCGTAATTGGGTGCTGTGTCCCATAGACATTGACATGTATTCTCAATTAAAAACAAATCTGTAGAAGCGGTGTCACCCCTGAGGACTAACATAGATTGCCTTGTTACCAGTCAGATAGGGGCTCCGATCCTCTACATGCACCACACAGCCTAACCTAAACAGCAGCATTACGCGTCTATTTTACGTTGACATTCTGTAAGAACTTGGTTCTTCTGTAGTGTGGGCTACACTACAGGAGTACACGAGTCACGACAGTATATATTAGTGTTAAAGTTGAATAAATTTAGAGTAATATAATTAAATTCATAGTAAGGTAACACGTCTCCTATTCATTTAACACCTCCCAACATGGCACATGGCACATGGCGACTCTGCCAGGCGGTGAGCTGCTACAATGCAATTTTTTGCGGCAACCTTGGTGATAAGTTGTAAACGTTCTTCGTACCGAAGTTTCATAATATATAATATATTAACTTTGACGAAATAAATATATTAATTTAGCCTCTCAGTATATTTATGAAAATTTGATGTATTTCACAAAAACATAGGTAGTTTTAGTAAAAAAAAGTGACATACACTGTAAACACTAGGAACAAACACAAGCTGGTGCTACCAGTTTCTCGAGTCCACAGAGTCAGTAATTCATTCTTGGGGCAATGTATACGCTATTACAACAAAGTCCCATAAAATATACAAGGTCTCTCTATTACCAAGTTTAAACATATTAAACAAAAACTGTATAAAAAGGGTTATTATGATATAAATGAATACATGGTTGATATTAACCCCTGGGAATGAGGTGGTCGCTTCCAAGCTGTTTCTAAACATTGAGCTATTATGTACTACGTACTAGAGGTGACACTGCATTCAGCTACTCTGTTCCACTCGACTGCGGTGCGTACACCGCACTTTAACCAGTCACTCGCTAGGCGCTTATAGAGTTGTCACGTGTTGTGTTGATTTAAAAAAAATCTTTTCATAAAAATATGCCGTCGTGTGTACTTAGATATTGCACAAATAATTCAAGAAATGTCAGTAAAAACCAAGGAATTACTTTTCATCGGTAATAAGATACTTAATCAATAAAAAAAAGTATTATAGATTAATAGTAAAAAAAATTATTCCTAAGACGCCCTCTCATGTCATGGAATATAGATTATGAAATTAATATGTTCAGATGCGACATTTCTGTGGGTTCCTAAGTATAGGACGAATATATTATTATACACATTTATTTTGTAGAAACATATATAGGTTATTATAATTAGGCTAAATTTTTCATATATAAATATGCTTATTATTCTTTTACTTTATTTTTAGGTTTCTACATCAAAGTCAAAGTGGAATAAATTCGTCCATTTTTAACTCTCGCCCTACCTACTAAAATTTACCTATTTAACAATACAATCTACTATTACCTACGGATCATTCTACCTATGTTTATTCTATGATAAAAAAACCAACCGCCCGAACACAGAGTAGCGCACATTTTTTGCTTGAAATAGCTGTTCTAGTACGTACATATTACTTCAGGTACTTCAGGTAAATTATATCGAGAACAATATTTAAATTTTGTCATTTATTTTGTATATTATATTTGCTTATTTAATATAATATTACATAATATTATATCATAATTACATTTTAATGATATTTTTATCTGAATATTTTAAAATGTATCTAAGTCAAATATAAAAAAACATTCTACATGCATGTTTAACAAAACTTATTAACATAACATTTAAATTACAAATATATTTATTTAAATTAGAATAAAAGTCGTTCATAAATGCTGGGCTCGCGAGAGTTAAAAATGGACGAATTTATACCACTTTTACTTTGATGTGGAAAACTAAAAATAAAATAAAAGAATAATAAGCAGATTTAAACATGAAAAATTTTGCCAAATTATAATAACTTATATATGTTCCTTTAAAAAAATATGTGTATACTTAATAATATATTCGTCCTATACTTAAGTACCCACAGAAATGTCGCATCTGAACATATTAATTTCATAATCTATATTCCATGACACGAGATGGCGTCTTAGGAATAATTTGTTTTATTATTAGTACATAATACGTTTTTATTGATTAAGTATCTTATTAATCGATGAAAAGTAATTCCTTGGTTTTTACTGACATTTCTTGAATTATTTGTGCAATATCTAAGTACACACGACGGCATATTTTTATCAAGAGATTTTTTTTAATCAACACAACACGTGACAACTTTATAAGCGCCTAGCGAGTGACTGATTAAAGTGCGGTGTATGCACCGCAGTCGAGTGGTACACAGTAGCTGTATGCAGTGTCGCCTCTAGTACGTAGTACATACGTAATAACTCAATGATTCTAATGCACGCGCACCGACGGGCCTACAAGAGAATTTTTTTACAAAAGTTAAATGTAATCGATTGACTTCTAAATTCTAGATTGTTAAATACGTATTATATATTAAAATAACGCAATGTACGCAATACAGGATGTGACAAGAAAACTATAATATGACAAACGAGAAGAGGCTACATTAATATTTTTAGAAGCTGACTGAAAAATGAAAACTGGCATATTTATTTAAAAAAAGGAACAGTTGTATTCTTGCGAACTTCGTCCAGAAGAATATGGAAATTGAGCCGAAAAGAACAAAGAAAAAATTAAGAGGTAATATCGCATCAGTATTATGTTTATAGTCAACCAAATCTAAGAAATACCTTTTGACAGCTGTCAGACTTATTGCACCAGGCATGCCAAACAATAAATAGGAACGCACAATACTCGATTCTTAAAAAAATCGATATCGATTATTTAGAGTTGGTTATCATTTACAGTTTGGTTTGAATAATACCAGAATAATTTAAAAACGGATAATTTAAAACACAAGATTTATCAGTTTCTACGTATTTGTTGTTACTGCTTATTTCTAGAGGCACAGTTATAAAAAATTAAGATTAAAACTAGATTAAAAATAAATTTATTCAATCACTTTCAGTACAACTAGTTGAGCTGCCGTAGTTTAGATTAATTATTATTTGTTTTTCAATAATTTATTTATTTTATTTCATTATTTAGTTAAATACACCCATTTTGTTAGTAAACTTAAAAACTAGAGGTTAGTAAATTCATAAAATACATCAATTATTACTATACAAAAATTATTATTTATTTATTAAACATAATGGGTCTGGAACCCATATGCACTGTGTTCCAGTACCTCATCACAGGGCAATCTTGCCTTCCATATATGGAAAAGCTAGGAGGCCGTTGGTGCTGTCTCGCATGCGACGCATCAAGGAGGCTATTCTTTTGCGTAATATTACTGCAAAGCTGTCTACGCGTGCCTCAGAAAACATACGCGATGCGCTGCAAAAGCGTGACAGCCTCAACAACATCCTGAATCCATTGTTGTATTGAACACGTAAGTAGCGCATTGAGAATTCGGCGAGTACACTTCGTCCACAGGCTGCAGGTGTAGAATTTCTGACAGTAAGCTTTGAATAACGTTATCTTAACTTCATTCGTACACCTAGCAAATCATATTACACCTCACGGCCAACGCTCCACGTTCCCATTCAACATCAAAATCGTCAGAAAGATCCTCGGCGACCCATTGTCTCAGATATCTGAATTTGGTGACTCTACACAATGTAAATCCTCCAAGTTTAACATGAGGAACAGACTTAGGTTTTCTATTTCCAGCCTTAAACACGAGTAGTTCACTCTTATTAGAATTATATTTGAGACCATGAGCCGCCGTGTACCTTTCACAGATGCCCACTAGCGTTTCGAGCAGTGGCGAAGCTAGGGCTCCAAACTAGGGCAAGC